CACTAGAGACCACCTAGGTGACATTAAAGCACCTCAAAGAAAGGATATAAACCAACCCCCATATATTGGCTAGATCTATATGGGTTACTTAGTTCCAAAGCCTTCTCTATGATCTGGCTTTGAGCCACTGTTACAGCAGCTGTGGTATTCAATATTTGCCAATGCATGGTGACCACGCACAGTTGTTTCGTCATTATTATATGAAACATACCTTTATGCATACATTTGCAGAAAATCAGCTCATATCCCCGTCTTAATCGAGTGTATTTAGCATTTAATTTCGCAAAACGAAATTTCATTTTAAAATGGCCACCATTTTTCTGCGAATGAGGTCACTGAGGTGTATAAATGGCGGATCCATTGAGTTTGAATGTTTTTCCGAAAAGAAATTTTGAAATATCTAAATTCAGAGGTAGTTTAGAAAATACATCACCAAGAAAATGCATTTTCTAAAATTTTGGGGCTCACAGAGGGTAAATTTAAATTATGAATTTTACTTTTAGATTTTTATGAAACAAATTGCCTACATCATTATGTATGTTGTAATATTATACATTAATTAATAAGAGGTACTAAAGTATTACTACTACACATTTAATTTTTAAATGTTATTATCGAATTCAAATATAAATCAACTATTTTAACTGAGCCAAGTATTGGATGATTGGAGGCAGTATTGATCAAATTTGCAAAGGGTTAATTTTATTCTCACCTGTCTCAACAAAACAGGAATATCCCAGAATTCATACAGTCATACTTCTCTTATGTAAACTATATCATTGATTGGCCAAGGGTTCATCTATAATCCTGGGAAGTGACCTCTTCTGGACGAAAAGCTTGGGAACATCTGATATGACCAGTTCCCATAACAGTGTGTCACCTCACTGTATGTACAGTGATCGCCTACTATTAAAAGTGCGTGATCAAAGACTCGACAAGATGCGCAAAATTCGAAATGTCGGAGGAAAGGTATGTTTGTTTCTCTTTTCTTTACCACCTTAATGACATTTTACCTACAGATGGTATTCCATATGCTGTATAAGAGACTCAAGATTCATTTGGTAACAGGATTCGGTGATTGGTTCAACCGAAATACCTGAACTGAGTTAATAAATGAAGCAAAATCAAAAAACCCGCCGAATGAAAATGTATATTTCACCAAATTTTCTGTTTTTAGATTACCAAAACCACAAAACCAACATGCTTATGGTTAATATACATAATACTTAACATTACATGCATATCAGACGTTCCAACTCCCCTTCAGTATCGAGTAAGAAGGATGTTATGAAAACAATTTATGATCAGCCAAGTGGGTGATTTTACCATGTGGATTCTAATGATATGTTCTTTGCATTTCAGAGTGGTTGGGTTTACATGATTTTACTGTCATTCATTACAAACTCCTAAATTTCAAATCATTATAAACCACCTTGTAGAACATCATGAAGAAGAAGAGATGAAGATGAGAAAGATTACTGAAAATAGAGCAAATCTAGAATGATAACAAGAAATTTCTCTGGAATAATACCAAATGAAGTGAAATCAATAAATAAACACATACTTGTAGAAAGTGATGAATTCATGACAATTTCAGTGATTGACAATAATCGAATGAAATCATCCAGAATCTCTGATTCAACAACTGCTACAAAATCAAATAAAATTACCAATGAAATTGCAATAGAACGAGAATATCAATTAGTAATGAAATGACAATAAATGATTCTGAAATTACAATAGACTCTCATTCTCCAATAGTGTCCACCAGTTAATCTGAGATGATACCCCTCTGAGCAAAGCCTAAACTGGAACTTTTACTCGGTCCCATATCGATCCACATAACTCTGTCATTAGAGATAATAGCATGGTATTTATTTCACATTTTGTAGAGTTTCTCTAAAAAACGCTCACTGGTCGTTTATTTTGCATTCGATTACATACAATTCTAAAATTCTCAAGCTAATCACTTATAGACCTTAGTTGAAAATTGATCAATAAATCTACTGAATATTGAATACCTAAGAGGAGTTTTCCCTTATACCTGTCATTTATATATGACCCAAGTTAGCCACCTCGTGGTGAAACTGGGAACTGACTACTGGCATCTACTGAAGGTTATTACGTCATTACATTACTTATTGATACCTTGCTGCAAAAGAATGATTTAACTCCCCAATGAAATAGATAATGTACAATTCAGATTTTATTACAATTACAATTACATTACAATTCGACAATCATCTTGGATGCCAAGGTGTATAGTTCTCATACTTTGGGATCAGAGGCGTAAAATAAATGGACTAAAATGGAACTTAAAAAACGGTTCCACTTGTAAGGTGTTACGCTTCAAGAGGTGTTTCACTTAGCAGGTTCTAGAGGTTCAGTGTATATATCATTTAATGGTAATGTATTCAAATCTAGGCAGAAAAACAAAATGAACACACACACAGTGACCATTTAATTGACTGAATCAGTTTGGACATACATTTTGCGAGATCCCCATTTTCTTCTCTTGAAAAGCATATAGATATGGGTGTATGGTTTGCTGAAACTCACGCTATTGGCTGATCCATTCGTTTCTGTGTTAAAATATTTATTCCATGTTATTGAAGGGGAAACGTGAATTTCATCATGGTCAAATGGAAGTCCAAGACCCTACCTAAGTATAAAAAATTAAAGAGAGTAAAAATGTTCTATTGTTTTTGATATTTTCAAGCTTTTTAAATAAAATAACACATATTGTATCGCATTTATATCTTTAAATTGTAAAATCAATAACATATACGAAAAATGGTCAAACTAATATATATTTCTCAAAGCATATGGGTGTTCTTGTGCCTACAAAACCTAATTGAATCACCAGTAGCCTGTAATATAAACACAAATAAATCTTTTAAAAGTAACCGTTACAAAATATTTGAATTTTGCGCATCTTGTCGAGTCTTTGATCACGCACTTTTAATAGTAGGCGATCACTGTATATACAGTGCATCTGTCATTTCTCTGGAATGATGTACACTTTCCTCCAAAAGATTGAAAACAATTGTAGTACAGTAAAACCTGTATATCTGAACACTTGGCTAATCCGAACACCTCCCAATTTGAACATTTTTTGGTCCCGTTTTTTCTCCCATCCATTGACTCAAATGTTTAAAAAACTTGAAATATGAACATCTCCCAATTTTGACAGTGAACAGTCATGTTTGAAAATTAACCTATCTAATCTGAACACATAAAATATCACATGTTCCATAAATTGATCAAATATTTGAAAAAAACTTGAACGATCTCACTGTTGGTGGGGCTTTCTAGGATGACTAAATTCATTTGAATCATATTTTTATGTCACTCTAATGCCAAAGCTAAGTAGTCAAAAGAACTATAATATTTATTGAGAATTTGTTTCTATTTCTTCAAAAACCCAAATCTTGCAAATGCAAAACCTCAAAATGTGAACACCTCCTAATCCGAACGCTCTGAGCTGGTCCCTTGGATTAGACAGATTTTACTGTAGGTACAATCCCCTCTAAAAGTTACTGAAATCACTGGCTGGGAATTGGTGTTCGCTTACACACAGGTGTTCAATAGAGTATACTCATATGTTCGCTGGGCACAGTATTTCACTAAAGAGATGTTCATTATGACAGTTTTACTGTACTGGGAATTGGTGTTCACTATACACAGGTGTTCAATAGAGTAGACGCATGTTTTCACTGGGCACAGATCTTCACTAAAGAGGTGTTCATTAGGATATTTTTACTGTACTGAACTCACTGACTGGGACGGAATCGGTGTTCACTATAATATACACAGGTGTTCAATAGAGTAGAGGCATGTCACTGGGCACAGATCTTCACTAAAGAGGTGTTCACTATGACAGTTTTACTGTACTGAAATCAATCACTGGGAATTCACTATATACAAAATTGAAATCTGTGTATCATGCCACCCCTGCAAAATAATTTACTTGCCCACTTGGTCTCTTGGATCCACTTGCAAAATATATATAGTAGATGTGAATATTTTCGAAACAAATGAGTGATATATACACATATTTTGTACCAAATGCGTGACATAAACGGCAATCGCGTGCAAAGACCGAACGGAATGCGTTCGCTTTTTTCGCCATTCGGTATTTTACCGTGTTGGCCAGGGGGGAGATTCCCCAAAGATGCCCTATCATATTAGCACGTTCGAAAACAAATTTTATAAACAGGCCTCAATTTGCCGTTGAAATGGATCTCCAAATTTTCACTGTAGTTTTATGAGTATTCTTTACAAGTATGGATCGAGTAACTTCAATAGTATTACCATAGGTTTGAAATGACGATGTTGAACTGATGTAAGCGCCATTCCCACGATTTCAAATTTAACTCTGCGCATGCGCAGCACTGAGAGAGCATGTGCCCATGATTGTTCACGTGATCGAATCCTGCAATTTGATTGGAGATGAAAAAAGCACTTGGTGAAAAATGTGTATACCCTCTGGGAGCCACCAGCATGCATTTTCTTGGTGTTGTATTCTCTAAACTACCAAATTCAGACAAGCAAAGCTTCTACATCAATATGATTAATATTCTTATAAATATTTATAGAAACTATTAAAAATGAGTTCAAGGTGCGTGTATGACATTTTTTCAGGAAAACATACGAAATCAATCAAGTTACATCTAGCTGTAAGCTAGAGACTCGAGTAATATATGGGGACGTGCCACTAAAATGGGTCACTCTTTCGCCAAATCCCTAGGTGTGGGTCCCATTTTGAAGAAAAAACCCTAGATTGAGGTTTCATTTTGATAAAAAAAATCTGGGAAAAAATCCCTAGAGATGGGTCTATTTTTGGAAAAATCCTAAAACTGGGTATTGTTTTTGAAAAAAATCGCCGGAAGTGGGTCTTGTGTTTTAAAAATTACCTTGAAGTGGGTCTATTTTTGAAAGAAAACCGGGTTCATTTTTAGAGAACAAAATCCCAAGATGTGGGTAGATATTTTGAGTCTCAGCGGCACCCCCCCCCCCCCCGACTCGTGATCGTTGACGTAAATTTTAAATTTGATTTTTTTCGAGGGGACCGTCCCATCTGAATAATATAATATTGAGCTATCCTTCTAAAAAATAATCTTGCCGGCATCTATGCATGGAAATAGATTGAATTTACTAACCTGATTTGTTATTTTTAATCAAAATATTGATCTAAAATTGTTTTTACGGATTTGCCGGAAGTAGTTAATCTGTCTAAATTGAAACCTCAACTAAACGAAATTACACCGTCGCGCCTTTACTTTTAATGTAAATTCCATAAATCAGACTGTTTTACTCTTATTATACTGTAGTTTTGTACGTATTTATACCGAAAATAGGATAACATTTACGTTTGTATGCACATCAATAATAATATTTAACAAATCCGATACAAAATCACAGAGTAAATTTTGCCATTTTCTTTCACTTCCCCGATGCATCCTGGGTACAGCATCATTGCTGCTGATTGGTTAATATTTCATTACGTCAATCTTCAGACGCGCGAATTTTCGAAGAAGATGGCGGAGAAAACAGACTATTTATTGCTACTTTGGGTGGAAGATTTTACACAAAGTATCGAGCCTGCCAGGAATCTTGTCAATAGATCTAAAGGAACATGCCCAGAACTAGGTGAATTTGTCGTTTGTAGATTTGGTGCTGGAAAGAAAGCTAAAGAACACGACGCTATTTGCTTGGGGATCGGAGGTAAGCAAGACTGTTAGAATTCAAAATTTTGAAAATTTAGGGTCAGTTTCTTTAAAAATGAGGCCCTTAAAGGCCTTTTAATGACATAAAGGCACATTAATTGAGGCCCTGTAACACATTTGGCCCAACAACTTTTCTCTCTCTGTCAGTTGCGACTCGTGTGATTGACTTTTGACCTTTTGGTCAGGCCCGTAGCCAGGGGGGGGGGTCGATTCGGTTCGGACCCCCCCCTGGCCAAACATTCTTTCAAAATCATGCATCACCATTCTGAGCATTTTCATGTGATTTTGGGTCAACTTTGTCAACGTGAACCCCCCTGGAATTTTTCTGAAAAGTGAACCCCCCCTTGGCAAATCCTGGCTAAGGGCCTGCAGGTCATCATTCGAAGGGAACTAATTTTAATCTGTCGAAATATTGACAGGTAGGTTATTTTGACGGATGAAAAACTTTGTCACCCGTAAAATTTTGGGGTTGTTGATTTTATTCTATTTTGATCACTGAAGACTTGCGCTTACAGGCTAACATTATAGTTAGAGACTGATTGAGTTTTAGACTGAGAAATTTCTCTTATTATTTTAGCATCATTGTCCGATGCAGAGCTTGTACAAGCTGCCAAAAAGACAGATAAGTACATTGATGAGAATTTAACCCAAGATGAGATTATATGTCTAATCAAGGCATATTGGGGTAACATCGCACGCAACCGAGGTGGTTGCATTGAAGATGCCGGGGACAGGGAGACAGACATGACAGATGAGCATTCATCGAGTGACACAGATGATATGGCTAGTTCGCCAGAAAATGCCTCAGCCTCTGAAAATGCCTCAGCCTCTGAGAACACGTAAGATAATTTTTACCTATTTATTTCATGTTGTTAAGTCAAGCATAATTTAGGTGCAACAATTAGTGCAGAGGGGCTATTTAACGATCATGGACCAGTGTCAAAATATATTTAAGTTTGGATACTTCATCAAGACTAACATCTATTTTTATTATCTACAATGAAACCCGCTAGTCTCTAGATAAACATTATTTCAGCTGATATTCCTCTTGAAACATGGTGGATCTTAAAAATATAAAAGTGGACGTCCCATTTAGCTTTGAACTGAATTTACACTTCTTAATGCTGAAATTGATAGTTTATCCATACATTTTAAGAAAATAGGTATGTCAAAGAAGATGTTAAGCCAAATGTTGCCTTGATAGCTCAGAAAAAGTTGAAATTTTCCTATTTTCTCTCTACAAGCCTTATTGCCCCTTTAAGTTAACTACCATACTTCAAAGAATTCCCTCTGCCATTTTGACCATGAGTCAAAGGCAGATGGCAAAAAACCATTTCAAATCACAATTAAGCCTGTTCAAATTTTGAGAAATTACCAATTTTAGTGAAATCCTATTAAAATTGCCAAAAGGTCTATTAAAAACATATTTATTGAAACTCCTGCATGACCATGTTTCACCTTTCAGAAATAAAGTATAAAATTAAAATATGCCTCAGATTTTAAATATGCCACCAATTTATTTATAACAGATCTGCAAAGGCATCAAGGGAAAAAATTAAAACCAACCAAGATGAGCATTCATTGAAAGACTTGGAAGAAGAAAATCCCCCAAACTCTGGGAACAAGTAAGATAATTTTTACCTATTTATTTCACGTTGTTAACTCAAGCATAAATTACTAGTTACTGAAAGAGGTTTACTTAAACTACTTCTTTAATCCCTCTGGCCTTTTCATAATGAGTCAGGCAGACGGCAAAAAATCACAAGTATGCCTGTTCAAATATTGAGAAAAAAATTCATTGTCCTTAGCAATTTTGGTGAAATAAGTTCCAGCCTATTGAAATCGCCAAAAAAGCCTGTTGAAAACATATTTATTGAAACCCCTGCATGACCATGTTTACCTTTCAGAAAAAAGTATGAAAAAATACCTGTGATTTTGAATGTCTCCAATTTATTTCAATATAGGTCTGCTAGAACTATTAGAAGCCTAAAGAGGAGAGTAAAGGACCTCGAGAACCAAGTTGCTGAAATAAGAAAAGCAATGCATATGGACGAAAATGACATTGCTTATGATGTTATTAAGCATCTACCAGCAAGTGATGTCCGTTCAGTGACAAAAAAGCTGGTAAGCTATTTTTTCACAGAAGAAGAGTTGATACTCCATAGTGTCACCGGGAAAAAATCAAGTCGTTCAGAGAGCTCTAGACCCCCACTAGACCAGACTAATGTTAACAGAGTGCTAACTTTAGTGGAAAGACATTGTAAGACTTCTCCAAAAATTACGAAGGAAAAAATTGCTAACATTCAAAAGGCATTACGCTTAAAAAATAGAATGTAGATGCGTAAGACACTTGTATTTGCAACTTGACAAGACACTTGTATTTGTAACTTTGTAACTTTCCTGTAGAAGGACACTCATTTTGTAGTTTGACAGTATTTGTTAAGAATAATATAAAGCAGTTCTATGTAACTTCAATTGAATTGTTTATTCTTTATTCATATTTATTCTTGAGAAACTCAGGGAAAGTGCAAACATCAGATAAAAAATTGAGGTGATGCATAATGAAGCATTTTCTGATTACTACCCATGATGCATATACATGAATAACTCAGTAAAAAGAAATGAGGTAAGTTTTTATCATTTATTCTTTAAAATATTTTCATTCTTAAAAATCATAAAGGAATCCTTGTTTATTCATGAAGAATTTATTCTTCATTATTCTAAAGTGATAATAATAATCCTGAATGTTTATTCATCTTTATTCTTGGGAACTCAATAGTGACTGGAAGTTTGAAAATTGAAGAATTACCGATGAATATTTAAGAATTAGTTTTCAAGCATATGCTTGAATAATTCATCAATTTGATTAGAAATTTGAAGAATAAAGAAGAATATTAATTCTTGTTTATTCATCAAAAACATGAATGTTTATTCATGAAGATTTCTCATTTATTCTTAAGAAATCCCTGATAATAAGGATCTTTATTCTTGAATAATTCATGGAAAGTGTCAAGTTATCATATGATGAAAATTGAGGAATAAATCATGAACATAGAGGGATTGTGAAGAATATTGAAGAATATCAAAATTGATGTCCAAGCATATGCTTGAATAATTCTTGAATTTGCTTCCTAGAAATTTGAAGAATAAAGAAGAATATTTATTAATATATATTCTTCAAAAACGAGAATGTTTATTCTTGTTTATTCTTAGAGATTCATGACGATTTTTCCTTCTTTATTCTTAAAAAATTCTGATAATCTATTCATCTTTATTCTTTAATAATTCATGGCAGGTGAGCAAGTAATCATATGATGAAAATTTGGGGAATAAATGATGAACATAGAAGGTTTGTGAAGAATAATGAAGAATGTCCAAATTGATGTTCAAGCATATGCTTGAATAATTCATGAATTTGCTTACTAGAAATTTGAAGAATAAAGAAGAATATTAATTCTTGTTTATTCGTAAAAATCATGAATGTTTATTCTTGTGTATTCTTAAAGATTCATAAAGATTTCTCCTTCTTTATTCTTAAAAAATTCCTGATAATCAGGATTTCTATTCATCTTTATTCTTCAATAATTCATGGCAGGTGAGCAAGTTATCATATGATGAAAATTTGGGGAATAAATGATGAATATAGAAGGATTGTGAAGAATAATGAAGAATGTCCAAATTGATGTTCAAGCATATGCTTGAATAATTCATGAATTTGCTTACTAGAAATTTGAAGAATAAAGAAGAATATTAATTCTTGTTTATTCGTCAAAAATCATGAACGTTTATTCTTGTGTATTCTTAAAGATTCATAAAGATTTCTCCTTCTTTATTCTTAAAAAATTCCTGATAATCAGGATTTCTATTCATCTTTATTCTTTAATAATTCATGGCAGGTGAGCAAGTTATCATATGATGAAAATTTGGGGAATAAATGATGAACATAGAAGGATTGTGAAGAATAATGAAGAATGTCCAAATTGATGTTCAAGCATATGCTTGAATAATTCATGAATTTGCTTACTAGAAATTTGAAGAATAAAGAAGAATATTAATTCTTGTTTATTCGTCAAAAATCATGAATGCTCATTCTTGTGTATTCTTAAAGATTCATAAAAATTTCTCCTTCTTTATTCTTATAAAATTCCACGACAATTAAAATTTTTATTCATCTTTATTCTTGAATAATTCATGGCAGGTGTGCTAGTTATCATATGATGAAAAATGAGTAATAAATGATGAACATAGAAGGATTTTGAAGAATAATGAAGAATATCCAAATTGATGTTCAAGCATATGCTTGAAGAATTCATGATTTTTGCTGAATCAGAATGTGAAGAATAAAAAGGAATATAAATTCATGTTTATTCTTCAAAAATTCCTTGATATTTCTTTCTTTTTTGTTCTTGTTTATTCTTCACGGGTCCTTGAAAGTTTATTCATGAATATTCCAGTAATTCAGTTTTGAAGAATTTTGGGGAAGTGTCCAAATTGATGATCACGCATATTCATGAATAGTTCATGAATAATTATTCTTCATTGGTGGATTATTCATGAATATTTTACATGAATATTGATGAATAATTCACGAATAATCAGGAATTATTCCATGCTTTTTCGCCGGGGCAGTAACTTGATGTTACAACTCTGAAAAGTGAAAAATGGGGACATGTGGAGTTAATGGAAGTTTTCATTTGTCTTATAGACACATTACTCCCCCCTCCGTTCAATTTTAATAACTTTCGATTACTTTTTATATAACGTATGGTAACATGTTTTACAAAACCAATGATGACAATAGTTTTGTGATAATTACTTCACTTACGAGTATTTATTACAGGTCGTGTAGACCCCTGTTGGTTGATTTATAGCAAAAAATTGGCATTTGCACGTTGGCGACGCTGCACTTTTTTAATAGATCTTTTATTTTAGAACTCCAGAGTTCAAAAAAAATCCAAGAAGACCTAACATATTCCCCCGTCCACTGCGTCTATTCATTTAGCCATTCAATTGTAAACTTTCTCTTATAAAAATAAATCTTCAAGATTTGTTGAATTTTCTACCGAAAATCAGCTAGATCTACTCCCCCTCCATTCATTTCTTCTGATCATCGGGCATGATTCTTATTTGAGACTATATTTAACACCTCCTGTGAAAATTTGAATGAAAAGGGCACAAAACTCTTAGTTTGAGAAGGATTTTCTCTAAACTAACAGTATTGATTGACCTGGAATGTGGAACTAATTAGAGAGACTACTTTTACATGTTTTTCCAACACGGTTACAGTATGGCACAATGGGGAACTTTGGGGTACAATTTCTTCATAATTAGCCTTCTTTAATTCTAGATACCATATATTTTCTATTATACCATATACGATATTTTTTACACCTCTTATACCATATACGATAAATTTTGCCCCCTCTTACACAATATACAATAAATTTTCAGCCTCTTATACGATATACAATATCTCTATACACCCCCCCCCCCGCCAATTAACCACATTTACCACTACCAAGCGGCAATTTACCACTAACAAGCGCCAATTAACCACATTTACCACTACCAAGCACCAATTAACCACATTTACCACTACCATGCGGCAATTAACCACATTTACCACTACCAAGCGGCAATTAACCACATTTACCACTACCAAGCGCCAATTAACCACATTTACCACTACCAAGCGCCAATTAACCACATTTACCACTACCAAGCGCCAATTAACCACATTTACCACTACCAAGCGCCAATTAACCACATTTACCACTACCAAGTGGCAATCAACCACATTTACCACTACCAAGCGGCAATTAACCACATTTACCACTACCAAGCGGCAATTAACCACATTTGCCACTACCAAGCGGCAATTAACCACATTTACCACTACCAAGCGGCAATTAACCACATTTACCACTACCAAGCGGCAATTAACCACATTTACCACTACCAAGCGGCAATTAACCACATTTACCACTACCAAGCGGCAATTAACCACATTTACCACTACCAAGCGGCAATTAACCACATTTACCACTACCAAGTGGCACGACGATGGGAATTGCTTCTTATAACGAAGGGCAACAAAATGCCATGTTCAATTTCTCTATGGATTGTATAGTACATGTTATACGTATGCGTGAACATATTTGATGATTCAAGGATAGGAAAATAATAACCTAGACTTATTAGGCCAGACAATTTTTCGAGGAAGTGAGTAAAGTGAATTAAACAACTTTTAAAAGTTGCAATAATCAAAATAATGATGATTTAACCAGGCCCGTAGCCAGGATTTGCCAAGGGGGGTTCAGTTTTCAAAAATTTCCAGGGGGGGTTCACATTTGACAATTTTGGCCCAAATATAGCTAAAATCACTTGAGAAGTGCTCAAAATGGTGAAAAACTGCATGATTTTGAAAGAATTTTTGGCCAGGGGGGTTTGGGTGATTGATATTTCTCATAAAATTAAGAGAGATAGTCTATTTTTGTGAACCACGACTACGGGCGCCAGTTAACCATACCACTACAATTTATTCGGTCTCAGCCCGTCATATTAGTAGATAGAGGCTCTAAATTCTTATATGTCACAGTTCATATGTTATACTACCGAGACATGGATCCGTAGTTTTTAAAAAAAACAAACTTTGACTTAAATATATGGCAACATCAATTTTTCTACCACCGAGGCGCCAATTAGAGATGGTAATAGGACCGGGTAGGTTGTTGGGGGCAACTGCCCCCCCCCCCCCCCCTTTCGAAATATATATGATAATGACAGGCCTGTCAACTGTCCCGCAATTTGCGTATTTGTCACGCATTTGCTGAAGAATTTGAAGTCACGCCAGTTATTTTTGCGTGACAGAAAATGTCACGCAAATACGCATTTTACCTGGTAATTGTCAAGCAAAAATATTTCTGTAGAATTTTTTTTTAAAAAGATCGTTTACACAGCAAAAATACGAACGCCGGAAAAAAACGTACGCATATCGTTCGGACTTTTCATGCGAATTACGTATATGTCACGCATTCCGTTCGAAATATTTCGTACCTCCCCCCCCCCCCCCCCCCGTTGACGGATGTTTTGAAACGCGAGCGTAGCGAGCGCGAAAAATTTGAGGTGTTCAAAATTTGGCAAGATGTAATAAAATTTATACCAAGGTGTTCAAAATTTGGATCAAGGTGTTCAGATTTGGACCAAGGTGTCCACATTTTGAGGGGAGGTGTTCAACATTTCCAAGTCACTCATGTTAGGTGTTCCCAAGTTGACAGGCCTGTCATGATATGCTCAGAATGTACCAATGAGAGAGTGTGAAATAAATTCTAAGGCCCAAATATTTTGGGGATTTTGTAAGGCCTCAAAGAATGAGTGTGAGTGTGTATGTGTCAGCAGTGCAATCCATCCATACCGCAAGTCGCACCCCCCACAGCTTGGGAAATCTTAGACGGGCCTGAATTCCCTCCCCCCTTCATTATAAAAGGAACCCCAAGCCGAGAACAACCTCCTTTTCTGAAAGATAAGAAAATAATCACTTCAATCCACATAGGTATCGGATAGATTTCCCTCCTTCATTTTCTCCCAATTTTGCAAGGGAAAGTGCACAGTCAGCATCTGATGCCTAGAGTAATTAGATGACAAGTATAAGTGGAAACTTGTGAAATATCTTTAAATAATGTACATGTCTACAAACAAAAAACCTGACATTGACAGTGAGTTGACAAATGCCTCTTAATACTTACCCGCTTACTTACCAAAATATTTTCACATCTGATCTATTTAAACTTTTCCTCACCAGATGGCAGCAAGAATTACCGCGAAAATAAAATATTGCGCCGCATAAAATCATTCAACAACAAAAGTTTGTCAAATAAAGCATAACAACAGTAATGTGGAACAATCAAGCAGGTAAATATAAAGCAATGGTATACTGATTCAAAGAAAATGTATTTTACTAATATTTATATTCTTTACTGGCCGATTGAAGCGTTTCATTTGATGGAAATTTACAACATCACATATTATCGCCCACATTGACATTAACATTTTTACAGTGGGGATCATAAAGAAATACAAAAGCTATGAAAATCACATGCTGTCGCACATGTAATAAATTCTTACCTCAGTGTATTTAGTGCTCTATTTTCTCCGTCTTATTAAGTCCAAATATAGTGGAATTTGTGTCCATAATGACAAATAAGAACTTAAAAAGTTGAAGTAGATATTCACATGTTATGCCGACTTACTCGAGTCTCTAGCCAATTCTTGGCTAGAAGTGTTTCCATCTAGAACACCGTGAACTATTGTAAAATCTTAAGGTCAGGGTGCATGATGGGAAATTTTCTGCATTCCTCAATTGTATTGTATTGTATTGTATTTTGTTTACCACCAATGAAGGTGAGCAATACAGTGGGGGACAAAAATAAAACTCAACGTTCACAAGTTGTCACAATGAGCTAATTTCCAAGTTTCGTGTCTCAAACTCTCCCAAGCGGTAGAAAAATAATTCCCGTTCACTAAAGTAGCATAATAAATGAATCCAAAGCTTCATACCTGCAAATAATGGATAAAATTCCTACCAAATCGAATGAATGTTTTCATGAATCGCCATGTTTGTTATCCAAGGACAGTTGACTCCCAGAATGCAACATCAGTTAACCGTATTTACTCATGACAGGTTTCAAAATGGCGGAACAGCATTTTGAAAGCTGGCACGTGTCATGTTGCATTCTGGGAGCCAATCCTCCGTTTCCGGCGCAATCGGGCGACAAAATCACCTCAACATTTGAAGAGTCGGCATAACATGTGAATATCCAATTCAACTTTTGAAGTTCTTATTTGTCATTAGGGACACAAATTCCACTATATTTGGACTTACTAAGACGGAGAAAATAGAGCACTGAATACACTGAGGTAAGAATTTATTACATGTGCGACAACATGTAATTTTCATAGCTTTTGCAATTCTTTATGATCCCCACTGTACCTCTTGGGTATATCCCGTATATAAACGGTCGGATTTTACGTAATTAACCTGGAAGATAGACCCAGAAACCCCTCCTTGAAGGAGCCCGGTGTTCTTTTATGTGCACTTATACATAGACATACACACCACCACAGCCTTTTGTACGAGTTGCGGACCACTCAGTCAAACACCCTGAAGTACTTCACGCAAACAAGCAAATTTAGTCTTGCCTGAACTGGGGATCGAATCCGGGACCTATTGCGTAAGAGGTACCTGCGCTACCGCTGAGCTACACGGGTGGACTACATGAAAAAAATCAGAAAATTTTAAGAATTTTTTTTCACTGAATTTACTCATTTTTTATACATTTTACAAAACAAACCTTCTCACAAGGCTTTTCTAGGCACATAAGTGCACTCTTTGTGCAAACTTGGAAGATGTAGACCATGTGGGGAAGGAGTTATTCTTGTTTGAAAAATAACATGTGACTCAATTGAGGAATGCAGAAAATTTCCCAACATGCACCCTGTCCTTAAGCCGGCGTTCAATGAATTTATGTAATATTCTAAAAATCATTCTGTTCATATTTCATGAATTGAAATGATAACGGCTTATCTTATTGATGAGATATTGAACGTTTTCATTTAAAATAGACGTCGTCTCGTTCTCCATTTTGAAAGCATGCCTTTTTTCCGCTATAGCGATTTAGTCAAGATGGCCGCTTGTTGTGAAAATTTCCTTCAGTTTTATTTTGTGATTAAATATCCTGCGAAGTAGACCAATTTATGAAATAGGACTACGTGTAAAGATCAATGCAGGTGAGTTTATTATGTTTACATCAATAAAAATAAAACAGCTCGGCAATTTAAGGCAAATTCAAAACAACAAAGAGTGTCTTATTTATATTGTATGGCCACACTCAGTGGCCATAGAATATGGTAAATGCTGACTCTTCAAATGTTGAAGTGATTTTGTCGCCCGATTGCGCCGGAACGGAGGATTGGCTCCCAGAATGCAACATGACACGTGCCAGCTTTCAAAATGCTGTCCCGCATTTTGAAAACTGTCACGAGTAAATACGGTTAACTGATGTTGCATTCTGGGAGTCAACCATCCTTGGATAACAAACATGGCGATTCATGAAAACATTTGCTCGATTTGGTAGGGATTTATCCATTATTTGCAGGTATGAAGCTTTGGATTCATTTATTGTGCTACTTTAGTGAATGGGAATTATTTTTCTACCACTTGGGAGAGTTTGAGACTTGGAATTTAGATTGGAAACTTGGAATTTAGATCATTGTGACAACTTGTGAACGTTGAGTTTTATTTTTGTCCCCCACTGTAATCTTTATAGACTGGATCTAGATTTGACTAAACTCACGATAATATTTAGGGTGGTTTATAGTATAAATGTGTAGATGAATTTTCCATAAATTTCACTGACCTGAAAGTTTTTACACAAGGTGAGCATTAATGAACTACTCCCTTTATTTTTAGGAGATGGGGGCTTTGACCAGCAAGGTGGATTTGCATCTCCAGCTGGGGGAGGTTTCAGTTCTCCACAATCACAGGGAGGAGAAAAAAGAGCTGTGAGTATATTCAGATAGGATAACGTCAATGTATGTTCTTGATTTGCAATCTCATCACCAGGGTTGCATCCTTGTTTGCCTAGCCTGTACAAGGCATTAGCATTTGTCTATTTTTAAAATTTGCATATTGTTTCCAAATGTTACATCTTAAGAGTTGTATTTTTGATGAAAACGTCATACCTTGAAAGTCCAAGATGGGTCAATCATATCATTGAATGCTTATACTACTATTGAACTACATGTATTGTTATGGGATGATGAATGTATATTATTATTATTGAATATTGGTTACCGCCATATTTGGCGAGCAATACCTCATTGGTATGTTCCGTATTTTTACGTATTTTACACTTCAAGATAGAGCCAGAAACCCCTCCTTGGAGGAGCCCTGTGTTATTTTGTGTGCACAGGTACACAGACATAGAGGTACACACCACAGCCTTTTATACGAGTCGTGAACCACTCAGTCAAACACCCAGATTTACATAACGCACAAACAAACTTGTCTGAACCAGGAATCGAACCCGGGGCCAAGCGATATTGGTAACCTTGACTCTGCCACTGAGCCATAGCGGGTCACTGTTACTGTAGATACACTTAATTTGACGCTACTTAATTTGACAGATTTGCTCAATTTCAAATATTTGCGGCTATTTAATTTGGTGGAGTCAAGCCTGAGCTCAAGTTTTATCATAGATCTGGAAAGAACATTTTAGATTCATGTGTTCTATTTCCAGTCTTGGTCCCAGGGTCTTGGTATAGTACTGACATCCAAATAGGAATACTTACACAAGTGAAATAATTGAAAATTATAAATTCTCAAGTGAAATAATTGAAAATTATAAATTCTCAAGTGAAATAATTGAAAATTATAAATTCTGATTTTCCAAAATAAATCTGAAAATTGGCGATTTTTAATTTGGTGGATTTTTTTCAATCCGCCAATCAGTCAAATTAAAATAGTAGCCAAATTAAGTGTATCTACAGTATGTCATAAATGTTTCTGTGTTTATCACAACAATCGTGTTTAAAATCATTTAATGTCTTCTCTGATGGAACATATTTACCTTTTAGCGTCCAAGCAACATCATTCCCTGTACCATAGCGCAAGTACTGTCAGCTAACCATGATGGTGACAGGTTTATAGCAGATGGCTTTGAATTACATCAGGTAGGGTTAATTTGAAACAGAGTTCACGTTTAGATCATTTTCAAGCTAAAATGCCAAGTGGTTCAATGTTATGTTGAATCTTCTCGAACAATCAAAAATATTTCAATTTATGCTTTTTAAAGTTCTCAATTGAATGCAAACTAATAGTCTTGCTTCAACCCCATGTGACCCTAGCCACATACCTATCACCTCTAAAAGGGGAATAAGATGGGCTGAGTGTCCAGAGACTTGTTGCAAGACTTCAAATTATGAATTGTCAATATTAGAATTTTCAATAGGATGTACACTAGCTTAAATGCAGGTGGAAGACTGACATTCTGACATTAAACATTAAAAATATTCAAATTCAAAATTCAACTGCTCACCAAAAATGGAGGAAATAGCTCAGAATCCATCGATTAACCTCTCCATATAAAGATATACCTCTAGGTTCATGAATTCTGGGGTATTTTCTCTCTAGCTCATTTAAGGATATAAATAAAGGAATTATTTTGTATTAATCATTACGCTAGGTGACTTTAGTTGGTCTTGTGACATCAGTGAAACAAGACAACACAAGTATCTCATACACTATCAATGACAGTACATTCGGTGATATTTATTGCAAATTGTGGATGGATGGAGTAGGTTACCATAGTTACCACACTTAAATTAGTTATTTATCCTGCAATATTTTCTTCAATGCTACTATGCTTCGGTAACTTTTGTGCTGATATGTTTACCAAACAACTTTGAGTTTTATGCTAAGTAAAGTTATTTTCCTAAGTTTCAAATTCTCTTTTCAGAGAGTCTCAAGACCCAATTCAAGTATATTTGAAAAAAATTCCAGAAGGTTGGATTACATGTCCATGATTAAAGTCCTTTGACATAACATTGACTTCTATATTGCAGGATATTATTGAATAGTTCTTTGTTTCATATTACATTGATGAGTTCATTAAACAGTCTGCAGCGTTTCCAGGACATTTTATCAACTTTGACATTGTGAAACTGGTCAAACTTTACCTTTCGTGTTTGGGTGCATATTGATATCTAACCGAGTGTGCAGTGAGTGCAAATTAATTTTCAAATGTTTAACAATAGCAGGCATACATATGCTGTTGCTCCCCCCTCGGTTGCTTCCATGCTTGGGAGATCACCCATCTGTGCTCATTAACTGGTGCTGATTTGATGTGTATCACCTATTTACCTATTAGTGAGGCAACTCAGACTACAGAATATATACACATATGCTGTTTTATGAACTCTGCTTTTGTAAACTGTAAAACATGATCTTATTCTACATATTCTATCTTAATTCTATGGGTGTATTTATCTCATGTTATGAACAGTAATTACACTCACAATAGATAAGTCAATTTCATTCTGCAATGTCTTTTCATCAAGTACTTTCTCTGACTTCTGTTTCATTTTTCCAGATAATAGAAATCCAATCTGAAAGATCATGTTTTACAGTAAACATTATCATTGTTTTATATTAAGAAGTTAGTTGATTGTTATTTGCATGTTAGTTCATTGTTATATACAAGTTCTTTGTTAACCTGTTATATTAGGTAACCATAGTAGGGCTAGTGAAGTCTGTGAGTGTTGCCCCAACCAGGATAGACTATGGGCTGGATGATGGTACTGGTCCCATTATTGAAGTCAAACAGTTTGTAGATAATGATGTAAGTTGCTCCTTGGCTTGCCATGGTATGTCATTAATTTTGGGTGTGGTATGGTTGGATCAGAGGGAATGTGCTGAAAGATGTACTCATAATGAAAACATGTTGGATAATTTGTAACACAGTAAAGCACCGTCTCATATGATTTGTACTAAATTCTGTAGATTATCACTTGAGTTGGTGGCTAATAAAGGTCAATGGGTGGTTTGGAAATAAAAAAGGGATTTCAGTATATATATGTATATAATTTAGTGTAACACTCAGGCAACCCTCACATCCTATCAGGCTGGGAAATAAAACCACACATTAAATTTGTGTCTATAAATATAATGCTATTATTTATGAGAAGAAGCTTTTGGTTTATCTCTTTGTATGGTTTAAAAAGCTCATATTTACAATATTGCAAATTAAGCTTCTACCTTGGGATACTTTAAAACAATTATTAGTTTATAACAAAATTGCAATTGCAGTTTAAATCATTTTTATGTCACCATGACAATTGGGGACATAGTTTCATAGTCTCCAACTTTTTTGTTTCTGTGTTTGGCATTGTTGGTTGTTTGTCGGCATTCGGCATCTGTAACAAATGACAGGTGGTGACATTTTGCAAGTTAATGCCTTGTTTTAATTTGTACTGCTTGTTCTACAGGAAAGTGTACCAGAGGAGGAGAGAGTGAGCCCCATGATGGAGAACACATACGTCAGAGTATATGGCAATCTGCGATCATTCCAAGGCAAGCAGAACATCACTGCCTTCAAGGTGCTCCCAATCACAGACATGAATGAGCTCACTTCTCACATACTGGAGACTATCAAAGTACATTTAGAGTTAACACAACCTGTAGTAAGTACATCTGTAGCGTAACACATTGGCTACTTCTTAAGTACTGTAGATGTGGGTTTTCATAATCTGTCACAATATGAGTAAAGTGGACTATTTAGTTACAGTCCCTCAATGGGGAAGTTGATTCCAAAGATTATGCCTAAATATTGTTGGGTCTCTACGAAACGATGACGCCAATATGATACGACAAACTTCAGAGTTCAGAGTAACATACGATACTTTATTATAAAGAGTCAAACTACACTATCTATTTACAAGTTATATACTACTGAGCTACTGTACTGACTAAGAGACCCAAATCGTAACTCCGGATCGTCACTCCAGATCATAACTCCAGATCATAACTCCCAGATCATAACTGCAGATCATAACTCTGGATCGTAACTCTGGATCGTAACTCTGGATCGTAACTCCAGATCATAACTCCAGATCATAACTCCAGATCATAACTGCAGATCATAACTCCTAAAGAACTACTCGTAACTGCCAGGGTGAGGTTTCGAAGCCTCTTATATAGTCCCAATATTGGCATGTTGCCAAACCACGATTGGCAACCTGCCAATGACCAATTTGGCAAAGTGCCAATGAAACTTAATGACCAAATTATTCTAAGTTCTTACTGAAATGTCACTGAAAATGCTTAAGTCCAACTGTATGAATGAATAAAATTGCCTAAGTCATGAACCACTGTTGCTGCAAAATGACAGAGTCCAGCGCCTTTGGTTGGATGTAAAATGTTTAAGTATTGAGATACAGGTTCGTGAAAATAACAGAGTCCAGCTAGTCTGGTTATGAGAAATGACTAAGTGTTGCCTATATGATGAGTGAAAAGAACAGAGTTGTGGCTTTTGGCTTCACTGATTTTGTTAAGTCTTGATGGACAGCTATGCTGCCATCTTTAGGTAAGAATTGAAACCTAGCATGACTTAGAAAAACCCAACACTACTCCCCACTAGCTTTGTGACCTCCTGGTCACAACAAGTTTCAAATTAACCTTGTTAAAATGATATCAGCATATTGACAACCCCTTTTAAACCGTAATCAAAAAAAATATAAAAACAAGAGTAGCCAATGTTCATCAACTATATAATGAAACCATTACTGTTAAGCCAAGATAAAATAACAAAGGTCAATTATGAGACAATTGTGTCGAAGACCAAACCTGTTATGAACAAAAATGACATCACCAAATAATAGAACTGTTATGCCACATTTTTTTACCTAACTAAATTGATGAGTAAACTTTCAACTGACTGAAACTTTGTATCAAATCATATCAAAACCATCAGAATGTTACGAAGACTCAAAAGCAAGTTCCACTTTTAAAGCACTCTTAATTTCAGAATAATTAAAAACACTATCAGCCTCAAAAGTTCATAAAGTTATTTTAAATGTTTTAATATTACAGTCTGTTGCACTTCAATGAAGGCATGAAAATCAAAGTGTTCAGTGTCAAGTGCAATGTTTATTGAACCTGATCACTTCTTCAAAATCATTCAGCAATGCAAATATTTCTATAACATTCTGATAAAGAACTAGATAATTCATGTTATGAGTCAATAATATTGGGCAATCTTTCACCCACACACTTCCTTTTAGTTTCACAGTCCACTGACATATAACATAATATTATATGCTATGTTTATCTTTAATATTGTGGTTTCTTTCAACTTTAGTAAGTTAAAAGGAAGACCATTTGTCATGTTCAACACACTGAATCAATGACAATGATGTAGGCATTCAATAACCACACACAGCCAAAATAATATAAGGTTTTCAAATTCACAAATCAAAATTCCTCCTTTGATCATCTTGATATCTGCACTGCACTGGACTCCTGATGATGGGAAGTGAATTAGCTGGTACAATGTGTACTGAAGACTGGCCTGGTTTCACAACTTTACAATGAAGGATATCTCTGTCTTGTTGATCTGTCACTGAGTGCTGAATGTAGGCTAACGACCAGTCTTATTAGTTCTCGATATTGTATTATAGTTCACACTGTGTCTTGATCACCAAATAATAGTCAAAAGGCATTTTAGCAGTATCCTGGATCCCATGAAAATGTCTCTCTGAATTAAGAACTGGTCAGTCTCTGATCTCTGAATATAAAACTGAAGTTTCGATCAATATCTGATCTCTGCATATAAAACTGAAGATTCGATCAATCTTTGATCTCTAAATATAAAACTGAAGTTTCGATCAATCTCTGATCTCCGCATATAAAACTGAAGATTCGATCAATCTCTGATCTCTGAATCTCTAGTGTCTCTCTGATCCTACGTATGTCCGGACGCATCATAGACATACTCCAATAACACAAATATAACACCTGACTGAATTTGTCCAAGATGACAGGTATGGGATCCTGTACATCAATAAACAAATGAACCATTAACAAGGTAATTAGAATGAGTATAACTGCGACCCATCCCAAAATGGCTTCATAATGGCACTGCTTTCTTCGCAAAAGTTCAGTATGAACAAAGTCCCTCAAACAATGTGAAGCTGAGTACAGCTGATCCTGCATGTTGAGAATTTTACCCCGACGTGACATCATGGTACCCCGTGCTGACATCCTAAGTTCAATACTGCATTCCAAAATTAAATGTCACTAATCATAATATAAAAAGTTTGCTGCCACCACTCTCTAATGAGAGAATAAATGTTGTGCAAATCTGCAAATGTTCTGCAAGTTTTGGTAACGATCATGTCTCCGTTTAGCTGGTTTATCTTTATATTTTCTTGGCGCCATCTTAAAGTCTCTTAATTGTTGGTAGCGCTATAAGCGTGTATAAGTTCATATCCCATCGCTGCTCACCAGTGTTGGGTCTCTACGAAACGATGACGCCAATATGATACGACAAACTTCAGAGTTCAGAGTAACATACGATACTTTATTATAAAGAGTCAAACTACACTATCTATTTACAAGTTATATACTACTGAGCTACTGTACTGACTAAGAGACCCAAATCGTAACTCCGGATCGTCACTCCAGATCATAACTCCAGATCATAACTCCCAGATCATAACTGCAGATCATAACTCTGGATCGTAACTCTGGATCGTAACTCCAGATCATAACTCCAGATCATAACTCCAGATCATAACTGCAGATCATAACTCCTAAAGAACTACTCGTAACTGCCAGGGTGAGGTTTCGAAGCCTCTTATATAGTCCCAATATTGGCATGTTGCCAAACCACGATTGGCAACCTGCCAATGACCAATTTGGCAAAGTGCCAATGAAACTTAATGACCAAATTATTCTAAGTTCTTACTGAAATGTCACTGAAAATGCTTAAGTCCAACTGTATGAATGAATAAAATTGCCTAAGTCATGAACCACTGTTGCTGCAAAATGACAGAGTCCAGCGCCTTTGGTTGGATGTAAAATGTTTAAGTATTGAGATACAGGTTCGTGAAAATAACAGAGTCCAGCTAGTCTGGTTATGAGAAATGACTAAGTGTTGCCTATATGATGAGTGAAAAGAACAGAGTTGTGGCTTTTGGCTTCACTGATTTTGTTAAGTCTTGATGGACAGCTATGCTGCCATCTTTAGGTAAGAATTGAAACCTAGCATGACTTAGAAAAACCCAACAATATAAATAAATCCATTCACCCATGGGGTAAAGTAAAAGGCATTGGGAGTACCTATGTAAGGTTGACACAACCCTATTCTTAACTGTATATGACTTATTTAAAAAAAATGATAAATGGTCTTCATCACATGAACAGTCTTTCTTGTTTTATGTTCTGCTCAGTATTTGTGTAAAAGTCTCAATTGTGATTTCAAAACAAAGACTTCTGGTTGATTTTTTAAACTCAGTAACCTGACAATCAAAACAATTAAAAGTATCTTTACCTCCTAGATATTATTACTGTAACTTCAATTGAATTCCAATTGATGAATTTTCTGTTTTATAATCCAGTCTGCAAACCAAACAAATGGCCACCATGAGACAAACGCTACACCAGCTAAAAACACATATGCAGGGGCCATGACTGACAACAGTATGTCTAATGTTCAACAACAGGTAAAAAAATGTTCATCATTCTTTAAAAGCCCCCAAAAAAGTTTAAACCACTCAAACTTAAATTGTAGCCGTACCCAATGTTTTCAAAATGTCATATAGAGCTAACCAAATTTTCAAAAATGCCCTAGTTAATCTGGTTAAACTGTTTAATGTCCTGTTTTAAAATCCCCATTCTTACTATTGAAAATGGATTCTACCAATACTCTCCCACATGAGTCTACTTGTTGAGACTCAATCAACTTGAGTTCTTCTGAGATAATGAGGATAATGACTGTGTATCTAATAAAAGTTTTGTTCAATGGGATTTGCTATTCCGTGGAGTTGCTGTTTTCTAGTTGTATCTGCCAAAATCATGAAATTAAATACTAGTATACTTAAATTTCCATGGTACATGTAATTTAACTCATTGTAATTTTGTTCTATTTTGTTCAGTGCATATTTTGCTAAAACAACTTCAATTTTTGCAGAGATTTAGTCAGTTACCTCTCCTTGCAAAACAACTTGAAAAGCAGACACGGTTTACATCACTATACATAACAGTAATAAGCAATTGTTATGTTATACTTCAGGTACTAACGATTATAAGAGGGTCAGCCAGTGATGAGGCAGGTATCAGCATACAAAACATAATGCAACAACTAAGAGGTCTACCTGAAAAAGCTATTAGGTAAGGACAGCTCACTCTCTGTCAGTCTGTAGGAAGTCAAAGCTAGAAGATAATTGTTTGCCCAGTTAATGAATTTATCCTTAAAAATTGTATAAAATGTCTGTCGAAGAATAACATTACGAGTTGCAACTTACAAGTATTGTATAATGTTGCTTGTACATTTCCAGGGATTCTGTTGAGTTCCTGAGTGGTGAGGGTCATATATTCTCTACTATAGATGATGACCATTATCGATCTACAGACACGGACTGATTCACAATGCTTAACATATACAGAAAGATCTTCATAGTATGTAGTATCTCTGACATACTAGTAATCATCTAATGGACAATATTCAGTGACTGACTAAGGCTGATTATGTCAGCATGTAGGCCAATTGGTCATATTTATGTGTTTTTGGCCAATCACCCTGCTCATTTTATCATTACATGAGACATGTTTTTTTAAGGATAAATGTTTGTTACACTTGAATATGATGGATAAAGTGTTTTTTAAATCTAAGAAATCTTCACTGGTGATCTCAAGATCAGAGAATTATGTTCCTTACTTCATTACTTATTATCATTAGTTTTTGTCATTAACTATACAATGCATCTGTCATGTCTGTAATCTTACATATACTGCACTATTCTTTTTTTCAAATTGCCTAATGATTTTTTTCCTTCAAATTGTTTATTTAGGAGGTTCATATTCATAAACGCTCAGCTTGGATGTTGTTACTAAGTTACAACTTGGTATTATATTTTGTATAAAAATGTTGTAATATAGATATAAGAAATATGTATAGAATAGTTTTGTTAATGTATGACTATAAGAAGACGTGAAATAATGGTAAATATAGATTTATCCTACCATTGAAAGATTTTCTATATTTGCAATTAATAAAATAAATGGGTTTATTCTAAGAAATATCTTAATTTTTTTATTTGTGTGCTGTTAAGGCTCTAAACAACTCAACCCATTAGCATCCCCATAGGAACTTTAAAGACTATTTATTTTAGATTGGAAAAATTGATGAATGTGCACACCTGTACATCTTTAATAATTGTCTCCCATCAAACATCAATCCTTGTGTTGTATATCATATAACAATTTGTTCTTTTTGGACTTATTGAAGCAACTTAGCTCAGCAGCTTTTCTCTTTATATCCATTACAAATGGTGACCATAAATCTAGCAAATTGTTTAATGGTGACTTCCAAACATTCGTTCACAAGTTATATACGTGATAATCAATTATGCCAATATTTGACCATTAAGTCCCAAATATTATAGGGCGTTCAATAAGTACTGATAAAAATGCCCTGCCTTTTTTATTACGACCTTTTTATTATTTCATAATTCTTACTAATATTTCTACTGTACATTCTTGAGTATTAAACTGATGTACTGCTCAAACAGGAAGGTGGTGCTGGGTTGAGCCAAAGGTGGTTCATGGTGGATCAGGTCTGCACGAAATAAGTTTCAAAATGACCAAATTGAAATATGAATATTGCTCCTCAGTCAACTGTCAATGTCATCAATGTCATTTCTAGATCATTATGAACAGTATGTTGTGTGTGGCCAACATTTTAATCAATCATGCCAAGGTATTTTAGCATCAGAGTTTTTATATCAGCCATCAAAATGCGTTCAAAAATAAAATGTTCACATTTTAAGTAGGTCATTTGATTTTTTCGGTGCTGACCTGAATCACCGCGAACCACCTTAGGTTAAACCAAGTAGAACACAATTAGTCAGAAATATAAAGAATAAAATTCTTCATACTTCTAACATACATGTTTCGCCATGGAAATCCAGGTGTCACATATAAACCACATAATATATCATTATTTTCATCTGAGCAGTATGCACCCCCATAAAATGGATGTGAGCATAAGTTTAGAAAGAAACTTCGTCCCAAAATTGTTGCTGGACAGATGGATGGATTGATCAAAGGGAGATTCATTAGGCCCACCAAGAATATGGTCAGTGGGTGCTTTATTGTAACAGCTTGCTTTTTGAAGAAACCCATAGCTACAGTGTATTCATGAAGAGGGAAAATGTATCTTATTTCAATATTTGTACCCAAATTTTACATGGGGGCTCTATCAGTATAAAACACAATTATGTAAAGTATGAGACCAAAAACAAGTATGGTTTATGACACTCAATATTTTTTTTAAGAATCCATAGACTGTGATCCATAGATAAGCCCAGGGTTTCCATGTGAGAATCTCCAGATATATTTGTAATCCCGGGCAGGGGCCATTTAGATCATATAATCTGCAAATTAAGTGTTTAGTCATACTCTAAAATATCAGTTTTGTACCCCAAAACATAAGTTAGACTCTACTATTTTATATTTAGGGAAATATGGGAGTAAACTCTAGTTGTAGGCCTACAAATGTAATCTAAACACAGGGCTAAACTTTATTCCAATCATGGGCCTATAAGAATGGATTATTCCCAATGGCTGACATCCAAAATATGTCACATTTACGGGTGTTACGAACTGAGACTTGGGAATGGTTGTAGACTAAAGAGGGCTATATAATATAGAATACTCGACTATCTGACCATCAATCATTTTCAAATCTCGCGGTAAAACTTTAGAGTTCCGGTTTATTGACCAATCACAGATGACTTCTGAACGTAATCTTCTTAGTATAAAAGTTCAGAAATTTTCAGATTTTATTTTAATCGATCGTAAAAGGGACGTTACTCTTGATTGTTCGTCTTAAAGTACGTCGAAGGGTAAGATAAAATTTTTAGGCTTCTAGAAAATACAAGTTTCCTGATTCATATCATTCGATTGTCCAGGAAACGTCAATCAATGTTATATGATTATTTTTTCAGAGTTTGCATGAATCTTGACTTGATCTCAAAAATTGCTGAGTTTCCGAAATCGAATGTTCTTTACATTTAGATCACTTTTACACTTAACACACCCTTTCATGACCAGTATTTACTATATTTGCACATAGCCATCTTTAGATAGATCTCTCAGGAGATAGCTTTGTGTAAACTTAGTATCTGGCTTGTTACACTACACCTCCCTTGAAAGCCAGCGTTTAAAACAGGATTCACTTTTAAAAATGGGCCTGAAAATCCAAGAGGGGTTCACACCTGTAACAAAAATTCGTTCGTTCTGCCGATAAACCCAGACAATTTTGGATTCAACTACACGAAAAGAATGCTAAAATACCAAGGAATCTATTGAAGTAGGTATCTAAAGTGTAAGGGGCGTAGATAATTCTCCCAAGTTGTAATCGTACAGGCAAAAGATTGGGCTCATTCCAGGACTATAGTCCTGACACGGGATAAGCCAGAATCACTTGAAAAGTTCTCAGAATGGTGAAAAATTCCATGATTTTGAAAGATTTTTTGGCCAGGGGGTTGGCTACGCCTATGGGCCTGATAATCATGGATAGGGCATTGTACATCTTACCCACATGAGGAGACGCTACTCCTGAATTGACTAAAAATGATACAGGGCAATGAGGTTACTCTTCTTCCTAAGAAAATAACCATTACCAAGATCTGCATGGAAATTAAGCCTGTCTGGCCAACAAGACAACACAGATTAAAGACTGGCTACCCAGGGGGTTCACTATATATAAACCTTGACGGGGATCTTCGGCGCACATGGGGTACCTTTTTGGACATTTGGTATGGCAGTCAACCCAAATTTTAGGATCTGGTTATAGAATGCCCTCCAAATTTTGACTTGAGGTATGGCAATGGCCAGATTTTCCACTTTCTGGTATGAGAATTCTCTTGGAAAATATGTTACCTCACAATTGTGGTATGGTATTGGTCTAATAGTTACACATATTCTTAATTTGAGGTTGTTTTTGATCCTTTTCTGCATAGATTTGCCTTCTTCTCAAGGCATTCTTCAGTTTGAATATTAGCTTTTTTCTAATTTGGACATTTGGTATGGTATTGGTCCTATATTAATTAAGACATTTGGTATGGCTTGGTCTTATATCTGGAAATTTGGTATGGCATTAGTCCTATATTTGGATATTTAGTATGGCTTTTGGGCATTATTTTGGTTGGTATGGGAACACGTTGAAATTTGACAGATTGGTATAGGGACATATTGATAACTGAGGATTCAGCCTAGGACCCTGCCATAATTTATATACAGTGGACCCCCCAGGGAATAATATTAGCGACTGTTTTCATTATCCGTAGTCTTCTCAGAAACAGTATGCATTTCATTTACAACCTGAATGATGTCTCTTAGTGGGTCAGTTTATAGTATAGATGTAGCCAGTGTCTTGTGATTAGTATAGTGACATATATTACCGTTCTTATTACATGTATTTCACTTCAGGAGAACAGGGAAATACCTTATGTGCAATAACCCTCCAGGACAACATGGCTTCACGTGGCAAAAGTGAAACGGAGAAGTTGAAACAAAATCTTGAAGAACAACTTGATCGACTCATGCAGCAGCTGACTGACCTTGAAGAATGCAAGTAAGATATCAAACTATTGGCTATTTCTCATTATATGATATGTGACATTTAATTGGATTCTCAAATGATGTTGCCAAGACCCCAAAACTTGGCCAAAAGAGTGTGCTTAACAGACTTGTCATTGATGGCTCCATGTAAATTAAATATTATTTAAGTGGATAAAACTTTTCATGGGGCCTTTTATTTTGATTCAATTTATTCATTTTTTAGAGAGGATTTTGAGGAAGATGAATATGAAGAAACTAAAAATGAAACATTGGAACAACTGAAAGAGTTTAATGAAAGCCTGAGCAATATGATGAAGGGAAATCTGAGTTTGGTAGATCAATTAAATGGCATGCAATTGGTAAGTTAATCTTGGTCAGTAGACATCCTATCTTACTTAGGGTTAAAACAGTGTCGGAAGTCGGAGTCACAGTCACTGTGGAAGGCCGAAATGCTTGAAATGGTTGAAATGAAAGAAAATGTGAAAACAGCTTAGGCGAATTGATTGAAATGCTTGAAACGGCAAGACAGGCACAAGCAGCGAAACAGTAATTTCATTTTTCAAGACGTATCGATTGAATTGATTGAAATGGTTGAAAGCCCTGGCGAAATGCTTGAAACGAAAAACATGTGTTCGTTTTTCTTTTCAACAGTGAAACTTTAAATTTATTTCAAAGGCAAATTGATTGAAACGATTGAAATCCTCGAAATGACGCAAGCATTGAAATATAGGAAATAATGCAAGCATTTAAACGATTGAACTGATTGAAACGATTGAAAATTTATTTAATATAGTGTATACAGGGCTTAAGGCAAGAGATACCCTGGTCAATCTATCAGTGTATCTGTATACAAATTACAAATAGGGTTGTAACTGTCCAGTTTATGGTGTTTTAACTGCTTCTTTATTCGGTACATTAATATTCCATAAATACCAAATAAAACAAACAATTTACCAAACCTTTACCCAATCTATCGAATGTTTTTTTTATTTTATGAAATGTAATAATCTATACAATGTATATTCGCTAAATAGTTTCACTTGTTCCTTGTATTGACATTCACATTTGATATTTATACATGTATTTGTGTGATGCAGCGAATCAATTTGTTTTCCTTAACGCACGTATAATTCAATTAATTATTTGTACATTCGGTATTTAGATTATTTATATTCGGTACATACTGAATGCCACATTCGATAAATTTCGTTATTTTTCAATAATTTACGAGACTTTCAGTCACGTGATATATTTGTACGATGTAGAATAGCTGCACGGCCATTTTGCAGATCTCGCAGTCACGTGACAAAATATCGAACAACAACACAAATTATCGAATATTACTTTATTGCATTCGGTAAATAGCAAATTAGCTTTCGGTAAAATGCATTAACTATGTCATAGAAAAATGAACCATTTGTTTGGTAAATATAGGCAAACTTATTTCGGTAGGGTTCAAATAGAAATTCAATATTGTGCATATAATGTGTTACTCTTAAGGAATACCATAACAATTTACGCCAAAAATATCATTTAACGAATGAAATATGTAATTTAATGCACTTTGTATTAAGTGATTGGCTATTTTGAAAACTTAATTTGCTGTAACAAACATATAAACGTTTTTACCGAATGGAAAAATGATTTAGCGAATATAAATGTTTCATATATCGAATAATACCAGGTATCTAAAATATGATTTGATATGAATGGTAAATAGGTTATATACAGGGTGATCAATAAATAAGGTAAAAGTATCTGGCATTTTGTAAATATTGGTCCAAACATCCTGAAATTTGGTCAGAATATACCTTGTACATTTCTAAATTAAAACATATAAATATATAACTTCTGCCATCTGATTGGTTAATATTATAGTTACTATGGCAACTGGAGTCGGGGGTACCCGGGGCAATTTCATTGCATCCAATTTGAACAAAAAAATGATAAAAAGCACATCTTTTTCAAACTGAAAAGAAATAAACGTGGGTACCAGCATTAATTGTTTTAATACTTTGTTTATATTGTTTACATATTTTCTTGCAAATTTGATGTTTGATGTCACAGAAAATATTAATATATAATGAAAACTGATGTGATCATAGAAAGTCTATGACACGGGTCAATGATGAAAAACAATACCCACAGAAGAGATTTAATGAGAGAAAAGAGGAAGAAGCTAAGACTAAGAGGCCTGCAAAACGTTTCACATTGCACTGGGATAATGCTCCGTCTCACAATGCTATTCTCACGGTACAAACCATTGAAGCACTGGGTTCCCCACTGTTAGCTCATGTATTATACTCTCCTGACTTGTCCCCTTATGATTTTACCATCATGGTGAGCTGAAGAGGGAGTTGAGAGAGTTTCTCATGGGATGACTTGAAGCCAGCTGTCTTGAAAATTTGCAGGCTATGGGAAAATGGGTTTAAAAGGTGTTCAAAGACTGGAGTAGAAGACTTGAACTATATGTTAAAAACAAAGGACATTAAGTAGCAGTTATGAAGTATGAAATAAGATGATATGCCATTTTAATTGTGATTTGAAATATATTATCCAAAGTGTTTCGACTGAGAATTTAGTTTTTTGAAAGTTGCCCCGGGTGTTCATGCTTTCTGTTGCTATGGCAACTATAACTTCAACCAATCACATCACTTTGATCTGTTACTTGATATATCAATTCAATAATGTTTGAACATTATTCTGTGCAAATTTTATGAGGATTGGGTAAAATCTGAAGAAATGCCAGATACTTTTACCTTATTTATTGATCACCCTGTATTTAGTGGATGTCTATACTGTGGATACTATTAATATTTCCAGGCCATCCAAGCAGCTATAAGTGATGCCTTCAAGACACCTGAAGTTATCAAGATGTTTGCTAAGAAGCAACCAGGACAGCTTAGAACAAGACTTGCAGAGGTCTGTATTTAGAGCAGCATTTGTCAAAATTAATGGAAATTGGTGAATAACAGAACCATAGATTTATTTGATCCAGTTTACATGTATATCACCATTTCACTCCTCTTATTTTGTTCCCAGCCCCTTTTTACACACTGATTATTGACATTTAATGTTCATTTTTATGTCGCCACCATAAGTGGTTATTATGTCACCACCAAGTTGTGACATATTGTTATGGTCTCCATTTTTTTGTGACGGCGGTTGGCGGCGGGAGTTGGTGTTTGGCGTCGGGTGTCTGTAACAAATTCTAAAAACTTCCAATAACTTTACAAATAGTGTTTAGACCGAATTCAGTTTTTTCCAAAATCATCTACAAGTTCTCAGAAATTAAAATTTGACTTTCGATTTGAGATTTACCTTCAATGACCCTCTCAAGGTCAAAAAGGTCAAAAAAGTGGTTTTTCAACTTGCTTCAAATATGTTTTTCAAAATCATCTACAAGTTCTCAGAATTTCAAATCTGACTTTAGATTTGAGATTTCACCTTCAATGACCTTCTCAAGGTTTTTTCAACTTATTTCAAATTGACCAAATTTATTTTTCAAAATTTCTACAAAATCTCAGAAATTCAAATATGATTTTTAGAATTAAGACTTGACCTTCACTGACCTTCTCAAGGTAAAAAGTTCAAATAGGTCTTTTTTCAACTTGCTTCAAATTTTTTCTTTCAAAATCACCTACAAGTTCGCAGAAGTTCTAACTCATAATATTGTGAGGAACTAGGTGGTGACATTTTGTTTTGCTAATGCCTTGTAGTTAAATTGTTATAGTCTCCAACGTTTTTGTGGATGGTGTTTGGCATTCAGGTTTTTCAACTACATACACTTACTTTTTATATGAGTTTTCTTTTTAAGAGCTCTCGAATTTCTGTAAAGAACATAGAAAAAAATGATTTGAATCAGTATTGATTCTGTGTGTTATTTTAGGTTGAGCGAGATGCAAAGATTGGTAAACTTGCCAAAGATGTAGCCACACAACAAACAGTAGAAATCCTTACAGCATTGAAGAAGCTTGGAGAAACCTTGACTCCCACAGAGGAAGCCTTCTTACAGAGCAACTCTAGCACTAGTCTTAAACAATTTGAGGAGGTTTCTGGAACTATTGGTATGTAGAGTTAGTTACTAGTTAGTTAGCTATAATTAAGGTTAGTGGATAATGGAATGGGCGATGAGTTTAAGTTTGGTTCTAATTCATTGATGTTCATTCAATCATGCCATAATTTTCATATCATATCATATCAGTACTCAGGATTTTTCCTTTTTCAGGTGGTACTGTATTAGATATGGCTGGTTCACATGTCAAGGAAGCTAGTAAATAAAAGTTTTACTTGCATTATAACCAAATGACACTATGCAAGTTAATGATGTTATTCCTAAAAATACCCTAGCAGGACTGGCAAGATGTTCGATTGGAATTGAAAATAATATGATATTAGTCTATTATAGAACCTATAGAAAATAGAATATAATTTTTAGAGAATATTCCATGAAAGGAACATTAGCGTACATAGAGGACATGTAAAGAACATTTAAGGCGACTACGATTGAACCTTAATAGAACATGTAAAACACTGCAAGACTCATTCATTAATTTAACCATGGTGCACATATGCTATACACAATTTATGGATAGATTTTAATCGATATCGATAAAAAAACAAAATGAACAAAATTTCTAGATGAACACGCCATGGCCAGCCCACTCTCAAAAAAAACACACACACTGCTTCCAAAATAAAAATCTGTACACCCATCATTTGGCACCTCACTGAAAAGGTTAGTTTATGCAAGCGTTATTGCCTACATAAGATGCTTTACAGTGTTCATAGCTTTTATAAATATATTGTTCTTAGCCTTTATAAATAGATATTTAATTGCTAAGAGAACTCCAAAACTGCAGAAATGAACCATTTATGGGAAAATGGACTCTTTAGCTGTAAATTATTGTTGTTAATTGGATCCAGATAAGATGCAGGTGGCAGCAAGGATATATTCCTTTTTATATTTATTTTTATAATGCTCAGTTTTTTAGTAAAACTAGAAGATCTTGTGATTCTGAATTATTTTCAAAATTTTCTAGTTTTACAATAATATACTGTAATGATAATGTTTATGTGTAACATATCTCTTTAATCAGAGGTAAATAAATATTTACATCAAAGTATTCATATGTCATTCTTGAACAATTTTTGTTTGATTGTAATTAAAATTGCATTTTGTTGGCCTCAGGATAATACCAATATCCTGAACCTCATATAGGATATCTATATTTATTTCCTACATTCAGTGAACCCTGTAAAGTGGAACATCTCTGTTAGTGGAACACTTCAGAGTCCCAAGACCAATTGACTTAATGTTAAATGAACCTCTATAACAGTGGAATACCTCCCAAATGGAACACTTTTTAGTGGTACCAACTGTTTTCCACTTTGACAGGTTTTACTGTATTACATATTATTATCATATAACAATGGGGTTACTGTCCTGTTATTGAAACTGCCTGCACTGACAACAGTTTTAAGTGATAAACAAAATTTTCCAACATGGACTGTTTTCTTTCTAGTTTTGACAAATTGTCCCATTGTATATTAAAATGTGGCAACTATTTTGCAATTTTAAAAGTTTATCAACATATATGATCTGTTTTATCAATGCAGTCTGGCATGTTAATGTCCAGTAAATCTGTTGCAATCTAATATTGAAATCTACTGTGATGTTTTCTCCCTCAAATGTTTTCCCAATGTCAACTTTGTTTCACGTTAATCCATTTCGGACATTTTTACAAACTTTCGGAATTTACCTGTATATATTCAGTCAGTTTCGTTTCTAATTCACAATTGTCATCCTAAATTACATATCCAATTATAAAATCAACAGCTATTAACTTTTTTCTGAGATTCAGCTATCAATATCACATGTTGATTTACTGATTGACACTGATATTTGCCAGTTGACTGTCATGTTCATTGTTTAATTTTCAATTAGGAATCCTGTACAATACAATTTGGCATTCTCACACGAAAATCATGGAAATGCATTTAGTTGTATTTTCTGTTTTCTTAGCTGCAATACTAGGTAAGATTAAAATGCTGTATTTTATATTTTTTCAATCTCTTCAAAGCAAAGTCAGTAGAATTTTAGGATTAACATTTGTAACATTTCAAATGACTTATGGATTACAATAGCAATGAATTCATATTAGTTTTGTCCACAATATGCTTGATTGTCAGTTTAAAATTGAATGTTACAGTTAACAGTGTTAATGGCCAGTGTACTAGTGATGCTGATTGTCTCTTTGCACAAGAAGGGACCCAATGTACTAATCCAGGACCAACGGGAACATGTGGTAATTATACATTCTCAGAGTGATCTTCCAAGCACTGAAGCAATCCAAAGACTATTATTCATTGTATTATTGTATAGATCCATTGTATTCCTCAGCATCCATCGATTTTGAAAAAGGAAGCAATTTTTAAAATAAAAAATTGATATTTTCAATAACATTTTTAGAGAGAGAGAGAGGTGGACAACATGGTGAAAAATTAATTTACAAATGCAAATATATATTGAGATCCACATCCTCTCATAGATATTTGTCACTTGTTCATTCTCTAGTATCAATACATGTAGATATAAGTGTAATTTTTTGCTTGTTTCTTTAAGGATGTAACCCTGCAACAAACAGCCAATGTACAGATAACTCAGCTGGAAATACATGCAATATCAATGCTTGCAGTAAGTTATTTTTGTTTTAAGTTACAAGGTTCTTGTACTCCGTGACTACATTTTATTTTGTAGGGTTTTCATGTTTTCACATCTTCACACATTTTTCTTCTTAATAACTGCTGTTTTATGAAAAATGCTGCATCTGTTTTTTTTTTTACAAAGTGTCATCATATGATACATAGCTGTATAACCATTGAGTGTTTAAAAATGAATATATTCTCAATATTATTACATATAACAGTAAAATATCACATACAACACTTCAAAAACTATTGATTAATATTTTTGAATTATTGATTTTCCTCAATAGGTCCATTATCTTAAAAAGTCTTATTTTTTAGAGTGTGGGACTTGTTTGCCTAATAACAGGGGTGATGTTATCATAAAAAGTCTTATTTTTTAATTTTTTAGAGTGTGGCACATGTTTGACTAATAACAGGGGTGATGTATGTTTGGAACCCCAGGAAAGGTGTGGTAAGTTAACATAAAATAAAGTAATACATTTAAAAAGTGTTACATAGAGTTTGGAGATACTTAGACAGGTTCATTTAATATGTATGTTTTCTGCGATTTAGTTATCATGCTGGGTCTTTTACTTATTTATACTGTTTTTTTTTAAGGTTGTAACACTATTCTCGAATGCATTAACAGTGGATTTGGTGTTGTCTGTTTAGGTGGCACCAATGAATGTGGTAAGTTTTTACATATGATGCTCCTCATTAAGCTTACTGACTTGATTTATTTATATGATACATGTTTGAGCAAACTTGTTTGACCGATTGACTTGATATTTTCAAAGTTGATGGGCTGGATTTATGGAAATATTTTGAAGCTTGGGACATTTGAAATTTGATTATTCTTAATAAGGTATAGACTGTCTAGTCAGAATGCCATTTTGACAGGTTAGGAGGTAATTAGGATTACATTAGGAGATGTTCGGATTTTGACGTTTTTGTATCCGCAAGATTCTGGATTTTGAAGAAATATAAATGATGTTTTTGATGTTTTTTTTTCAAAAGTTCTGATATCATAACAAATCAGTGTTAAATTGAATATATTTGAGCAAGTTTCATACACCTACTTATAAGCTACCAATAGTATTTTACTAATTGTTGACTATTTAATATCTTTGATTGAAGGTTGTAATACTGGTGCAGACTGTACTGGCAAAAATGGTCCTGTGTGTGACAATTCCCAGTGTAGTAAGTATTTTCCAAATTATTACATAACTACAAATAGCAACAGTGGTATTCATAGAGTTAAAGCAATAAAAGAACATATCAGCTTCTTGGTAGACCAAAATCTGGTCAAGTCAGTACGCAAACCTATAGTAAAACAAATAACTTCTGTTTTTTGGGCTTCCGTAAAAAGACCTGAAACAATATTAATTCTGCCATATTTTCTATAGAATGCCTGTCTAACGCAGACTGTACTGCACATCCTTTTGGGGATACATGCAAAGATGGAAAATGCGGTAAGTCTAAACTCATTTAGCCAAGGAAATCATTTACATATTGCTTCATATAACTCTGCAGGGGGTATCTTACAGAGCAAATATTGGCAATGTGCAAAAGCCACTGAAGCTGATTTGGGTAAGGAAAAAGACTCTTATTGCTCACTTGATTTTTTAATTTTTAAAGATCAATCTTTTTCTCTCATTTTCTTAATCATTCCACTATGTTCCTTGGTGTTTCAACTGATATATCTTTGTGAAAGGTGCAAACATTGTGCATGAAGTGCAATGATATATGTACCAAAATGACATGTATCCTAGTACATGTTGTATCAATACCTGCTCACATGACAACGTTCTTAAAGTGATATAGATCTAAGCTTGTATTCGCGAATGCATCTAATGCCTGTCTGCTACCGGATTAACCTACTATTTCATGACCATCTCATTTAAATATGAATGGAATAGGGGCAGATAGTATTCATATTTAAATGAGTTGCCCATAAAATAGCAGGTTAATCAGTAGCCAACAGGTGCTAGTTGCATTTGCGAATGCAAGCTAATATTGGGGTTTGGGGCTACTTGTCAATCAAGTTCAGTCTTGGCCATGACAGTTGTAATGATCATGTGAATAAGTGCTTCTTATTGGTTAATGATACGTGTCACTTTCATATGATTGGCTCCCCTGATCTGTCTGTAGGTTGTGACTCGTCAGCAAATTGCGCAGGAGGGGAGGACTGCAAGAATGGAATTTGTGGTAAGAAATTAGTTCAACCAGTTGCAAGCTGGCCTTAATTTTTCATCTGTGAGTCATCTTGTTAGCTTGATATAGATTTGACATCTATGCTAAACTGGTCCTAAGGAGCTTTAGGCTTGCGTAAATATCATTTTGGAGGATCAGTAAATCAGTATCAAGGCACATTGCCCTTAAAATTTAAAGCTTTTGTAGCACCAAATGAACCATACATCCTTATATTATAGGTAACTTTTCATAAAACTTTATATTTCTAATGTTGAATTGTAAGTGGACCATGAATCAGATATTCTCTTTACTTGCAGAGATCTGTGTGAATGATGATGGTTGTACCACTGGTGGCAATGTCATATTGATAGATGAGAAGGGGCCAGTGTGTATTTCGAGCAAATGCGGATGTACACTGAACTCTCAATGTGACTACCCAGATAGCCTGGGTGCACAGTGCTTGTCTGGCAAATGTGGTATGATATTGAATTACTATGCAATAACCCCAAAGGGGCTTGTCTGGAGGGTCGGGTGAGCCCTCCAATAATTCTGTACTGTTATAAAGAATTTAAGATACTCTTAATAAGCAGTACATACACACTCATCGGACGGCTTGCACGACCCTCGAGACAAGCCCCTGTGAATAACCCTTTTTAACTCAGTATTGTTTAAAATTCGATCCCCCTCTTTTCATTTATACCATGATCAGTCACTGAGGTGTTCGTATAAAGCACTTTGATAAAAATAATACATAGTTTTTTATATGATAGAAATGATACATAGTTTTTTTATATTATATCCTCCAAGTCCTCCCTGGGTATCCTCTATATTTCGGTCAAATTATTTTACAATAACGTAAATCTGCCCCCACACAACTAAACTATTGCACATCTGTCCATTCAATCCTAGTGCAGTCTAGTGCAAACTTCAGTCATTTTCAAGGGATTTTTTTATCTAATACAATGACTCATATATTGCCAGGTTGTGCGACTAATGCAGATTGCACCAATAATGACAATGGGGCCACCTGTATAAGTGGAGCGTGTGGTAGGTAGTAGAAGTGGAAAAAACAGCTACTAAAACCAATTAACTTGGCAATTCTCTGAACAATGTCTCCATTTTTATGTTTGAATCAGAATAAATAATGATAGGCCATTCAATATGGTGAAATTCTACACTTGTAGGACAGAATGTCAGTACAAATGCACTCACCTTTGGTTCGTGTTTTGTACGACATTCCATCCAACTCATGCTGAATTTCACAATATTGAATGGCCTATCATTATTTATTCTTTAAATAATGTAGTAATGAAGTGCCTACTTGTTCTTTCAGGTTGCAATGTTGACGCAGATTGTGGTGTATCCTTCAATGGCCTCACTTGTGTCAATAACAAATGTGGTAGGACTTTTCTAACACTCAAAGATGAATATACAGGAATAAAATGTGGCAAAACAAAAAGGCACATTCCTTTGAAGTTCTTATTAGCCTATACAAGGTGGTGCTTAAGTCAATAATTAAAAGGAATAATTCGGCATATGGATTGACAAAATGACCAGGGAAAACTTGTCCTTATGTTATAATTCTGCTCGGTGTTTATTGTAGCCTATTACATAATAAAGATACTACTGTACAGTATAATCAGTTGCAATATAAGAAATTTTTAGCCACAAATGCTACCAAACTAAGCAATGACCATAGATGTTCTGTGAAGATATATAATTTCTAGATATTTGATTATGAGTGAAATAGTAACATATTTATGCACTGTCTATATGAGCAACTGCTGGAATTCACTCAGTTCATAATGGAGATTTATAATTTTCCTTCGATAGGTTGTAACAGAGACAAAAATCGTGCTGAATGTAATCTTGTCAAGGGAGGTTACAAATGTATGAATAGTCGATGCGGTGAGTTTTGCAGTCTAGTCTGTTCAGATAATATCTCAAAAGAAAAACAACAGAATTGAGGTCCAGGTTAAATCAAGGTTTAATTTATTTTAGTTACTTTGATCGTAGAATCTTAGCAACCAAATTGAGTGATTAAATTTCTTTAGTTTTTATGGTTCCTTTATTTTACTATACAATATGAGCTACAAATGACAGGGCCGAGGCTGAATTCAGCATTATTGGCCCTGTTAAAATTTGATTTGGCTTTTGTAGGTTGTGAGAGGAATAAGCACTGTGAGGATATAACTGATCCTCTGCCATATTGTCATCTAGGGGAATGTGGTAAGAGAACATACGATTGTATACTGTACATGTAATATAAGACTCTTCGAAAAAATACAATAGAGCATATTGTGTCATGTTCATTGATTGTGCTGAGTTGAATTTGGTAGCTATAGTATTTAATTTTGATATTTTTTATGAAAAATTGTTACACATTTCTATGAAAGCAGACTTGTTTAAACATCTTTCTTTTACCATTATTTGCATAGGTATAGCATATTACAATGTGCTAGGAGAAAATTTGGGTGTAAAGTATATGTCATAACTTTACAGCCACAATCAGCACATTTTATTCAGTTAATAGTTAAGTTTGGGGGATATAGAGAATTTCAATTTCAGTCAACTGTTCAACTGCAACAATACTGTTGTAATATGATGCAATTAATAAATGTTAAGTTCATTGTTTAGGTCAGGATTTAATCACATCAACTTCTGCAAAATAACTGAATATGATGCTATCAATCAATCATTCGTAGAAATGATGAAAGATTAATGGTCAAGAATCGTGTGAAGTTTATTAATGCATAGCAGAGACAGTGGAGGATATATGGAAAATGGATATCCATGGACATAATATAAAATTGAATAAACAAATACATTTAGGGTTGATAATAGGGTTAAAAGAAGCCCCAGGCACTTACCAAAGGATGCAAAAAGGAATGGAGTGCCAAGGCAAGGTCACCAGCTAAAATTCACCTTATTATCTCACAGATGAGCTATTGTATATATTTAATTATGACATCATGTTATGACATCACATAGTAATAGTCTTAATGTTTTTCTAGTGGAATGTTTAAACGATCATACATGTCGTCAGAATGCGAATGGACCAGTTTGCAGCACAACTACATTTACTTGTGGATGTTCTACAAATGCTGATTGTGAGGGAGCAAAGGGTCGCGGCTCAAATGGACCAGTATGTACTGCTGGGAAATGTGGTAAGTGAGGCTGTATGATTTTTCTATACAGAATGTCACAGAAGTAATGAAGATACTAAACATACATTTACAGGTTTTTAGCTTGACTTTCAAGTATTGTTAATCGGCCTGTTATACATAGTTTTTTATGTCACTACCACAAGTGGTGACATATTGTTGTAATCTCTGATTTTTTGTGGACTGTGTTCGGGGTTTGACATTTTTCATGTTAATGCCTTGTTTCATATTCTATGGATCTTATATACCTTAGCTTCATTGCACTGTTATAAGGGTCGCATATGACCTTAGCTATATTTTGGAAATTACAAGTGTCCTATATGACCTTAGATTCATTGCACAGCTAGTTAAGAGGGTCACATATGACCTTGCCTATGTTGTCCAAGTTATAAGGGATGACCTTAGTTCCATTGCACACTTTAAAAGGGTCTTATAATACTATGACCTTAGCTTCATTGTGCAAGTTAAAAGTTTCTTATTAGGCCCTAATATTGTGTCATTATTAGCTCACATGGTGAGCTATTGCAATCACTCACTTGTCCGTCTGTTTGTCCACCTGTCCATCCATCTGTCTGTCAAGAATTGGCCTGTTTTAAAACCTCTGTCGAAAGGATTCTTGTTTTAAGTTATTTTTGTTCAACATCAATATAGAAAAGCCCCCTATGACTCCTGGTTCAAAGCTCGCCTATTTTCAAAATGGCCACCAATTTTGTTTCGTGAAATCCAATTTTGGACCATTTGTTTTAAAAGCCCATTTTCTAGCTTTACAAATAATTTCAGGCATCCTGCATTGTAAAAAGCCATGTCAATGTAAAGAGTGGTTGTATGAAATAATTTTGTTACAAAAAATCGGCAAAAAAATTATATCCTTTTTTTTTTTTTTTTTTTCTGCTATTTTAGGCATTATTCACTTTTGAGCAACACCATGTGAGCCCAGTACCCACGGTACTATTTATTTTTAGTTGTTATGAATATTAACTACAGTAAAACCTGTGTATATTGAACATTTTTGCAATAGAAAAACGTTCAATGTTGGTAGGTGTTCATTACAAAGAGGGAAATGTATACAGAAGTCATTAGAGTATGTGCAGAGGAAGGGCGTCCAGTAGAGACATGTATTCACTAGAGAGAGAGATGTTCATTAAGACAGGTTTTACTGTACTTAGCAAATGAATTGAATGCTTCGCTTTTACAGTATGCAACACCAATAGTGACTGCAGTAATACAAATCAGTTTCCCAATTACAGAGGTGCTGTATGCAGTGGAGGTGCATGTGGTAAGAAATATTTGTAAAGTTGAGAGTTTAAGCTAGCTATATTTTTCACAACTTAACCGTGAACGCAAAACCAATGAATTTATACAGTAATGTATATAGCTCGTAGACAAAACAAGCACTACTTAGTCTACTTCAGATACCCTATCAGTTTCAGATCTGTGTTTAGAACGGGAGATTTGCAATTTCACGTTGGTGGCAACTGGAATCATTATACTCATGTCTTTTGAATACTATGCTGGCAATTTGGATTTCGATGCATAGTATAATGCTCTGATGAAAGTGATGTATGTCATACATGTTTTAGCTTCAAATATCTTAAGAAACGAGCATGTTTAAATATGTATCATTGAAAACCATCTGTTTTACTATCAGCAAAGTACACGATGATGTGTAGTCAAGTAACGGACGAAGTAAACCGAACGATTGTTTTTGTGAGAAAACTACATGCATTTGTATAGGGCGATTTATACTTACAGGTTTCCCGTTCGATCTTATGTGCATTGCTTAAAGCCTCAATTATTTGTAGGAAACTCCATTCATTGAAGTCTCTAAAGGTATTTTTATTTTACATTGAAATTCCAAAAAGTAAGATATTCAGGCATTGATGTATTCTATGTTTCTCTTATTGTAGGCTGTACAACTGACAGTGACTGTGACATCCAGGCATTGATGTATTCTATGTTTCTCTTATTGTAGGCTGTACAACTGACAGTGACTGTGACATCCAGGCATTGATGTATTCCATGTTTCTCTTATTGTAGGCTGTACAACTGACAGTGACTGTGACATCCAGGCATTTGTGTATTTCATGTTTCTCTTATTGTAGGCTGTACAACTGACAGGGACTGTGACATCCAGGCATTGGTGTATTCCATGTTTCTCTTATTGTAGGCTGTACTACTGACAGTGACTGTGACATCCAGGCATTGATGTATTCCATGTTTCTCTTGTTGTAGGCTGTACTACTGACAGTGACTGTGACATCCAGGCATTGATGTATTCCATGTTTCTCTTATAGTAGGCTGTACAACTGACAGTGACTGTGACATCCAGGCATTGGTGTATTCCATGTTTCTCTTATTGTAGGCTGTACAACTGACAGTGACTGTGACATCCAGGCACTGATGTATTCCATGTTTCTTATTGTAGGCTGTACAACTGACAGTGACTGTGACATCCAGGCATTGGTGTATTCCATGTTTCTCTTATTGTAGGCTGTACAACTGACAGTGACTGTGACATCCAGGCACTGATGTATTCCATGTTTCTTATTGTAGGCTGTACAACTGACAGTGACTGTGACATCCAGGCACTGATGTATTCCATGTTTCTTATTGTAGGCTGTACAACTGACAGTGACTGTGACATCCAGGCATTGATGTATTCTATGTTTCTCTTATTGTAGGCTGTACAACTGACAGTGACTGTGACATCCAGGCATTGATGTATTCTATGTTTCTCTTATTATAGGCTGTACAACTGACAGTGACTGTGACATCCAGGCATTGATGTATTCCATGTTTCTCTTGTTGTAGGCTGTACAACTGACAGTGACTATGACATCCAGGCATTGGTGTATTCCATGTTTCTCTTATTGTAGGCTGTACAACTGACAGTGACTGTGACATCCAGGCACTGATGTATTCCATGTTTCTTATTGTAGGCTGTACAACTGACAGTGACTGTGACATCCAAGCATTGATGTATTCCTTGTTTCTCTTATTGTAGGCTGTACAACTGACAGTGACTGTGACATCCAGGCATTGATGTATTCCATGTTTCTCTTATTGTAGGCTGTATAACTGACAGTGACTGTGACATCCAAGCATTGATGTATTCCATGTTTCTCTTATTGTAGGCTGTACAACTGACAGTGACTGTGACATCCAGGCATTGATGTATTCCATGTTTCTCTTATTGTAGGCTGTACAACTGACAGTGACTGTGGCATCCAGGCATTAATGTATTCCATGTTTCTCTTATTGATGTATTCCATGTTTCTCTTATTGTAGGCTGTACAACTGACAGTGACTGTGACATCCAGGCATTGATGTATTCCATGTTTCTCTGATTGTAGGCTGTACAACTGACAGTGACCGTGACATCCAGGCATTGATGTATTCCATGTTTCTCTTATTGTAGGCTGTACACATGACAGTGACTGTGACATCCAGGCATTGATGTATTCCATGTTTCTCTGATTGTAGGCTGTACAACTGACAGTGACCGTGACATCCAGGTATTGATGTATTCCATGTGTCTCTTATTGTAGGCTGTACAACCGACAGGGACTGTGACATCCAGGCATTGATGTATTCCATGTTTCTCTTATTGTAGGCTGTACAACCGACAGGGACTGTGACATCCAGGCATTGATGTATTCCATGTTTCTCTTATTGTAGGCTGTACAACCGACAGGGACTGTGACATCCAGGCATTGATGTATTCCATGTTTCTCTTATTGTAGGCTGTACACATGACAGTGACTGTGACATCCAGGCATTGATGTATTCCATGTTTCTCTGATTGTAGGCTGTACAACTGACAGTGACTGTGACATCCAGGCATTGATGTATTCCATGTGTCTCTTATTGTAGGCTGTACAACCGACAGGGACTGTGACATCCAGGCATTGATGTATTCTATGTTTCTCTTATTGTAGGCTGTACAACTGACAGTGACTGTGACATCCAGGCATTGATGTATTCCATGTTTCTCTTATTGTAGGCTGTACAACTGACAGTGACTGTGACATCCAGGCATTGATGTATTTCATGTTTCTCTTATTGTAGGCTGTACAACTGACAGTGACTGTGACATCCAGGCATTGATGTATTCCATGTTTCTCTTATTGTAGGCTGTACAACTGACAGTGACTGTGACATTGAGAGATATGGTTTCAAATGTGTCAACTCAGTATGTGGTATGTTCATCATGCATTTTAATTTTTCAATTTTTTCTCATTCTACATGTTCGGATTGACACAGTTAAGTGCTCAGGGCTTTTCAAGTATTTTCCCTAACGAGGGTATCTTAACTTTGACAAGTTTTAAATCACTGTTCCCCAATTAGTTACTTTCACATAAAGTCAGGACCTGCCTGTAATTTTAAGTTTGGTGGGAAAGTTAAGTTGCAGATTATAGTTTGGCTCAAAGTTAGAGAATATAGTCTTGTTTAATGTTTAATTCAGTTTGGAATTTGTTTTTTTAAGAACCCAGAGAATTACCAATGTAATTCTTTGAAATGGACTTACATGGATGTAGCAAAAGTGAGGGATTAAATGTATGAACAGAATATTGCTTAAAGGCCCACTATACGTATTAAGAAGAAAAAAAAAAAAATCATTGAAACATGTTACTCCCACACTCACTCAAATATGACACAAAGCTTGATTTGCTTTAATATTGAACCAAGAAAAAAATGACTCACATAGAAAACACCATTTGAAGTTCAGAGATCATTAGTAGTGCATGCACATTTTTGACAAAGTGCATGTTTTAAATCAAAAATGTTGAAAATATGCAAAGTGGGTCTTTAAGTTATAAAATGTACATTTTCACAACATTTATGATTACAGCGGTCATCTATAATCTGATTTATTCAGCAATAAAACGCTTTGCCTCGAATAATAATTGATACTTTGTACAATATGTCACAGTATTACTTTCTATTTACAACAATCAGTTCATTCTGTTAGAATATTATTTAAGACAAGCCAGTGAACAAAATTTTGTGGCATAGGTGCCATATTACACTTACAATATTATACTTATAATGTTACACATTATATAAACAGCACTATGTTTAGATATTTGGTGTCTGATATAGCAATACTATCTCATAATATTCAATACTTTTAGGTTGTACTACATCAGGTGATTGCTCAAGTGGTTCTAATTCTGCAGCCAGGGGATCTTTCTGTGCCATTGATAAATGTGGTAAGGGACCATCAAAATTCAATAATGATAATGGTTGATATTAATGTTTTGTTAGTGATATAGTGAATCTCCCGTCCATCTGTCTGTCCATCCAGCATATAACTCAAATAGTAGTGGGCAGATTTCTACATAACATGCTCCATTGTTGATATATTTGGAATATATTTACGGGGCTTGCTACTCTATGTGTTTAAATATAATTTTAACAAAGTTAAGAGATTGTCCTTGAAAAAATATAAGAATACCACATTGTATTGTACATCTTATGTGCACATTTTTTTGTTGATTTATATCCCAACCCAATGAGGTGTGTATTACAGATTTACTTTCCTGTTATCTCAAAATCTGCTTGGAACTGTACCATTGGATTTCTATGGGAATTTCCTCCAACAGAATATTCTAGGGATTAAGGAACGTCTTCACTTTATTGGCATTTGTGAAACCTATTTAAAACAGCATTTTTATTATTCAAAAGCATTAATTATCAATGATGATATGTAGCCCTCTGAAGTTTGAAAAATCAAAATACCTGGGTGTTAATCCACAGATAATCCTCGAAAATTAGAAATATTTTTTGGATTATATGGTGCTATCTTATAGTCAATAAAATGTTTTAAAGTATATTGATGTTTTTTAGATGAAAAACATTACCAAAATGCATGAAAAAACTCCCCCAATTCATTCTACATACAACTCCCAGCCCTTTGCATATCCAACCTAATACTTGTAGATCCCTCTGCAGTAAGGCTCATGGAAAGTATTTTGGAGTATATCATTGCAAAGATTGCATCATCTTCCAAGCTTCAAGTTCTTCAAAAGCTGGGGAATTCTTCAATTCTTCATTACTTATATTGTCTATTTCTGAATTTTAAAGGATGCTTCATAAACCTCTTTAATCAGTTACCAGATAGTTTTTTCTGCAATGATGGCAATACTGGAGATGGCAGAGTTTGTAACAGTGACTTAGTTTGTGGTAAATAGAGTTTTCTTTATATTTCATAAAATAAACACATGTTATATTCGTGATATCCTGTGGGTGCTGCCCCTTTTGAGATCTTGAAAATAGGCTTACACCTTCCTGAAAATCCATTTGCACCCACTTGAAAATGAGGATATCATAAAAATTGACATATTTTGGCCAATTTAGGTCAGGAATGTGAAGAACAGAGAACAACACTTGACAGTTGAGGAAAACTTCCAAGGATAGACAAATTAACTAATCTTGTCAAATGATCTGATCTAATCTTATTGAATGAACTAATATAATCAGAACTTTTTTGAAGCCCCTCCACATTGAACAAAACACACAGCAGAATTTATATTCCCAACTACTGGTAGACCAGAAAAACATAGAAACACTTTTGACATTTTTGTACATTTTGTAGGTTTGATTTAGTTTGATTAAGTTTTGTATGATTTGATTTTCAGGCTGTGTAGCGAATACTGACTGTACAACAAACGCGATAACTGGTATTCCAGAGACATGCAGATCAAGCATGTGTGGTACGTGGCAAACTTACAATTACTATTATGTTTCATTTGCACATACAATACATGTATGTATTATCCAATTTTAGCTGTTATTGTTTAGTCAATGCAGAAATAACTTTTTGTCAGATGAACCAACCTTTTGTAAAATTGTTAAGTTGAAATTAAAAACATTTTGCTTTTGATTTTGCATGCAAATTCTAAAAATCCTGAATTGCCACATCGAGGTTATTGCTAAATTTAGAATAAGCCATAAATTGCCTAAATCGGCAATGTATGGCTTAAACGTAGTATGTCTTAAAAGACCATTCACTACCCTTTACAAGAAGTGTAATATTATACACTCTTTAATCAACCAATGAGGTGGCACTTATCAAATTAAATATGTTTAGTTGTCGGGGACCCCCATGTCAGATGTGGAATGGAAGGCACTGATTCATTGCTCTGTATCGAGGCATTTGGGACTCCTGGAAAAACCTATGAATTCTTCACTGACAATGACACTGGTACTGTTTCTTTTATTATAAGATTAGGACATACATGTATATGAAAAAAGGAACATTGTGTGTTCTAATTATATTTGTAATGATTTAAGTAAGTTATTTTGTCAGCCCCAAGAAGCCATTTGCATTTTTGTCACATGACCTAAATTACACGGTGTCTTCCCATTTCGCCCCTTCCCACTTTGCCCCTTCCCATTTGGCCCCTCATTTATTCCCATTTGGCCCCTTCCCATTTCGTCCCTACCCATTTCACCCCTTCCCATTTTGCCCCTTTCCCAAATTGCCCCTTTCCCATTTCGCCCCTCTTCCATTTCGCCCCCGTCCCATTATGCCCCCTTCCCATTTCGCCCCTCATTCCCCCTTCGCCCCTTCCCATTTCGCCCCTTCCCAATTGGCCCCTTCCCATTTCGCTCCTTCTCATTGCGCCCCTCATTTATTCCCATTTCGCCCCTTCACAATTGGCCCCTTTCCTATTTTGCCCCTCATTCATTCCCATTTCGCCACTTCCCATTTTGCCCCTTCCCATTTCGCCCCTACCAAAATGGAACAGGGGCGAAATGGGAAAGGGCCAATTAGGAAGGGGCGAAATGGGAATAGATGAGGGGCGAAATGGGAAGGGGCCAATTGGGAAGGGGCGAAATGGGAATAAATGAGGGGTGAAATGGGAAGGGGTGAGATGGGAAGGGGCGAAATGGGAAAGGGGTGAAATGGGAAGGGGCGACATGGGAAGGGGCAATATGGGAAGGGGGCAACACGAGAAAGGGGTGAAATGGCAAAGGGGCAAAATGGGAAAGGGGCCAAATGGGAAAGGGGCCAATTGGGAAAGGGGCCAATTGGGAAGGGGCGAAATGGGAATAAATGAGGGGCGAAATGGGAAGGGGCGAAATGGGAATAAACCAAATTACACTGAACTACATGTACATACATGGCAGGCGGTTTCATGAATTATTAGAGTAGCAAACTCTGAAAACATTTAATATAAAAACTATTTTTTGCTTTACCCTTACAATAGGCACTGTTGTAACTGCCAAATTTATGACTAAGGATGAGGCGATGAAGTTAGACAAAGAGACTAAAGGTTTGCTTTTAAAAATTTGCAACAACACTTTTTCTGAACTTCAAAGTCAGTAGACAACTTAATGATTATAGTCGCTAACAATTTTAAAAATAGATGGATTAGACACTTGTATAGTGAAAAATAATGAGCTTTCAAAAATGCCCAAAATGCAGGTGTAAATGGTGAGGAATTGGTGAAATTCCTAGATCAAGTCACTGTAAGTCACAGGGGAAAAGACAACTTTAAAGAATTGGTGGCAAATCTTAATCATGTAGTTATACATGGTCACCCATTGGAATGGCCTGAAAATTTGGAGGACAATCTTAGGTTAGTGTAGACTCTATATAGTATACAACCAAAATATACCAGTTGATAATACCTTTTCAGTTCTTCAACTTCTAATCTTCTTTACAAAAAAACCTCAAGAAATCAAATTGGAATTTACGATCTCTAACTAAGGTAAAATAACAGTGCTAAGAATAGAACTGATGAATGAGTTTATTGTTTCTTCTATCAAAAGGTTTTATCTGGATACAGAACCATTGGTTAGAGTGAGGATTAATGGCTATGGAGTAGCTGAAGTTAAGGTTGGGAAGATCCTAACGGTCTTCATCAAGAAAACAAAGAAACACCATCTTGATGTGAAAATATCAGATATTGGAGGTCGCCAAACATCTGGATTTCTATGTAAGATAAATATATATTCATATATTAGTTTGGTGTCTGTGATAGCAGAACTTATAAGTAAATGTGATGAATAGTGTAAGAAAGTAAGAAATGAGTCTTTCAAAAGTTTTTCATGTTGAAGTCATAATAGGGCACTGATTGTATACAGTCAGCCTTTGGACTGGTTAAGTTCAGTAATTTTATATTGTTCCCTTGACAGTGTTACAACCTTTTACATTAACTTGAGTTCAATTCTCATGTGAGTTGTATTTCACATTGATAAAGACATCTCAATGCTGGATCCAGTCTCTGCTTTTCCTTGAATAGAGCTCACAAGGATTATATAAAAAGGGACTCAAAGAAGTCAGAGTGAAGTTTTTATTTCACCCATACACCATGCTGATGCCATTGACCTTCAAACTCAAATCATGACTTGTTGACATTATACCTCAAGGAATATAAAAATGCAATACAATAAAGGTTAAAATATTAAATTCTCACATTAAAAAAAGAAAAAAATTGGGGTGGAAATATGCTCAACTGCAGAACAAAAACAACAGAAAAATTGTGAATTTACAATACAAATAGTACAATAAGGATCTTTCATTTCAGCCTACATGTGCTCTGGAAAATTTAATGAGACAGTGAGCTCGGGACAACATCATGGTCTCTATTCAGTTCCTTCCACTGATAAGAATGGCATGGTATCTCTCAATGATGGCCAACATTTCAAGGTTAAAAAGTCTGGTGAAATTGATGAAGCTTCAGGGAAAGACTGCTTCAAACCAGACATGACAGACAGGGAGTTCTTTGAGAAGTCCCTTGCAAAATTTGTGGTTAAATAACTTAAAATACTTCAGACTTCAGACTCACTATTTTGTGTGGATTTTCATTACAATGGACTGATTTGGTTTAATCCATGTTACATGTACACTCATTGTGGCCTAAAATAAAGAATTTGCTAACTTTTAACACAACCCAAATATTTGTTGACTGATGCGGGGAAACCTTTTATGGCTTGTTTTGTTTGTGTGGATTGGTGGGCTTTTTGGCTTATTTTGTGGATAATATCTTGTACAATTTTAACTTTCCTCAATATCATAACATTCTGTTGAGTTTGGCAATATGGGTTCATATTTGTTTGATGTTGTCATTTTTTATACATGTAATTTTGATATAAATATCTTATAATTTCCAAATGTTCCAGTATTAGATCCTTGTAACAAGACTCTCATTCAAACAATAAGCCGCACATATAAATGGAGTTTCTGTCAAAAATAGCCTTTAAACTCTTTAATGCGGTTAAGCAACCATAGATTTTAATAGATGCCACAGCAGTTTTCTTAGAAAAATTCCTGTTTAAAATGGCTTAAAATTATTCCATCAGCATTAATAACTAATAACTTAAACCATAATTTCAAGAGTAACAGACAAAATGAGGTGACTTCTGTTTAATGATTTTATATTTTGATGATTTATGATTTTTTAATGACTAGGAACTACAGCAGTGATGTCTGGCATGACTTTACTTACGTTTTTCTAATTTCTTGTCTTAGGCATTATATTGGACAATTGCCTTGTGTTTCCTTTAAAAGATTTGATGAATTTGCACTTTATGTTTTGTACTATTTTTTTAAACTTAAATGTCTCTCTGTTACAAATATTATTAATTCCTAGTTGTTATTTTGTATTGGTTTTATACTGTTTCATCTTATTTTGTGCTTTTTCTTATCTTTTCTGCAAAATGCTGTTTTTGCAGCTAGAGTAATTATAAATCAAGTATTTGTATTTATAGTTAGTGAATGGTGCAATCCTTTGGCCGTGTTTATCCATCACTAAACTCTGCTAATTGCTTTGACATCTTGCGACATGTATTAAATTGGTCATCTCCAAATTTTCATTTGCACGTGATATTTTTCTTTTATTATTATTTGGTCTCCAACTTTTTTTATGAAGCCATCAGGTGGTCAATATTTGGAGTTTGGCATTAGGTGTCTGTAACAAATGTCAGGTGGTGACAATTTGCATGCTAATGCCTTGTTACTGTTGCTAAGTGAAAAAGATAAATCTGAAAATAAATCAGAAGGCAAGACAATCTTGACTGTTGCTTTGTTCATTTTATTTTGATCATTTAGATGTTTTGCATTACATATATAAAAATAAAAATGAGAACAGGGAAATAGGATTGATCCCGATTGACTGCAATGTTTTAACAGTGTGTCAGTACATACATGGAGAACTAAAGTGCAAATAAGATACTGGCATGGAACCATTCAGGGTCTATGCTATAAGGAAATTCAGCCAACCCTTTTCTATTCCAATGCATCCAGAATGTCAACTGACTTTTTTAAGGAAATGAGCTAGTTTGGCAAACACAGACCATGTAAAAGACAATGGAAAGAGAGCTTTTACTCCTTTTGCTGCTGATAACAAAGTTCAGATCAACCATAAATGGTCATGAAAAATGTAAAACACCTGTCTTTTCTTTTCACAAAGTATTGTAATCTCATTTCCACTGTATTTATTATCACTATGTCAAGACAAGTACAGTTTCTAGAATGACACCATAGATTTTCCCATTCTTTCACAGTCATCAATGCCTTTGTCTGCTATTCAATATCATTTAGTCACTTCATCTCACTGGATCACTTTATAACTACAGCATTGAGTTCTAAAGTTAACTAAGTGCTTGTTTATATGACTTGAGGATATGGTCTGCCACATCCTGTATGCCCACATTGTGTCTTGCCTGGGTGAACAGGGTAGGTCCACTCTGTCGCATCATATCAGCATCTCGTCTCATAACCTGCAAAATTAACATACAAAATAATCAAGACCTGAAAAAAGTTTAGATTATGCATTCTAAAAGAGTATTTAAGTCGCAACTTGGGAGTGACAAATTGTGTACATTTTTTGTATCACACTCTGTATATAATACTTCATTTTTTTGCTTTGGGATTGGTATACTGTATGGGTCAGATAAAGATTTCCCATATGGATCGGGTAATATATTACCAGTATGGATCATGTAATAGATTACCAGTATGGATCATGTAATAGATTACCAGTATGGGTCAGGTAATAGATTACCTGTATGGGTTAGGTAATAGATTACCAGTATGGGTCAGGTAATAGATTACCAATATGGGACAGGTAATAGATTACCTGTATAGGTTAGGTAATAGATTACCAGTATGGGTCAGGTAATCGATTACCAATATGGGTCAGGTAATAGATTACCTGTATGGGTTAGGTAATAGGTTACCAGTATGGGTCAGGTAATAGATTACCAGTATGGGTCAGGTAATAGATTACCAGTATGGGTCAGGTAATAGATTACCAGTATGGCTCAGGTAATAGATTACCAGTATGGGTCAGGTAATAGATTACCAGTATGGGTCAGGTAATAGATTACCAGTATGGGTCAGGTAATAGATTACCAGTATGGGTCAGGTAATAGATTACCAGTATGGGTCAGGTAATAGATTACCAGTATGGCTCAGGTAATAGATTACCAGTATGGGTCAGGTAATAGATTACCAATATGGGTCAGGTAATAGATTACAGATATGGGTCAGGTAATAGATTACCTGAAGGTCTGCTCCAACTGCCTCAGCCAGGTCAGTCTTATTGACTATTAGGAGGTCACTCTGTGTAATTCCTGGCCCTCCTTTCCTTGGAATCTTGTCACCTCCTAATCAAAATACACATAGATGGCATGAATAAAGTTACAATGATGTATTTCTTTTAGTTTTAAATCTGATTCATGCAAGAAATAATAGAAACTTCTATTTGGATTATGTTGTTTTGTTTGTCCATTGTTGCCTTTGTATTTTATCATTGTTGTTGTTAAATGTATATATTTGAGCCTGGCCATAGGATAAGACCCCTTTTCCTGTGGCCTGGCTCATTTAATATAATTGCAACATGCATTACAGTATTCTTTCTGAGTTCATAAAATTGTCCTTTGAGCTTTGTTATTCATAATGATTTAAAATGACACATACCTGCGACATCTATGACATATATGATGTAGTCAGCTAACTCTCGACTGAAATTAGCAGCTAAGTTGTCCCCTCCAGATTCTATAAAAACCATCTCAGGATGGTGTTGTCTTGTTAACTCTTTCACTTCCTCCATGTTAAGTGAGTAATCCTAAAAATGTTTGCAATAATATTTTAAATGTTTTAGCTGGAGTTGTAAAGAAATGTAAAGAAAAGATGGTAGATGTTTCAATCTAGAGTGGTATGTGGTAGTTGTTTCAATCTATAGTGGTATGTGGTAGTATGAGGGCATATCCCACTTTCTCATCTTTCTTATAACAGTATGAGGGCATATCCCACTTTCTTACCTTTCTTATAGCAGCATGAGGGAATCCTACATAACTTTATCTCTCTTGTAGCAGTATTAGGGCATCTCCCACATTCTTACCTCTAATAGCAGCATGAGGGCATCTCCCACATTCTTACCTCTAATAGCAGCATGAGGGCATCTCCTACATTCTTACCTCTCTCATAGCAGCATGAGGGCATCTCCCACATTCTTACCTCTCTTATAGCAACATGAGGGTATCTCCCACATTCTCTAATAGCAGCCTGAGGGGATTTCACATATCTTTATCTCTCTTATAACAGAATTAGGGCATCTCCCAAATGTTTACCTTTCTTGAGGCAACATGAGGGCATCTTTCACAATCTCACCTCCTGCATTGTGGCAGGAAGGTATCTTACAAATATTTACCTGTCTTATAGCAGCAAGAGTGCATCTCCCACATTTTTACCTCTCTTATGGCAATGGATGGGCATTTTCCACATTCTTACCTCTCTTATTGTAGCTTGAGGGCATCACTTACATTTTTAGCTCCCTTATAACAGCATGAGGGTATGTCCCACATGATTACCTCTCTTATAGCAGCATGAGGGCATTTCCTATATTCTTACCTCTCTAATAGCAGCATGAGGGCGTTTCCTATATTCCTACCTCTCTAATAGCAGCATGAGGGCATCCACCAGTCTCCACAGCCCTCATTCTACCATCTGGTAGAGCTTTGTGTCTGGTGAGAAACTCCCAGTCCTCCCTACAGTAACACACAAGACATTATTATATTGATATTATTCTTTTAAACCTTTTTAGTGGCCATGCCTGTAATAATTTCCTTAATTCAAATTTTGAGTAAAGTAACATTTTACAATTAAATAATTATTCATATGACCTCATATGCAACAACTCCATTGAGCTGGAATTGGTCTTGTTAATTAGTGCCAATACAATTGGGGAAAAAGACAGCAAATGTAGAGCCATACAGGAGCAGATGGTAATTTACCTTGTGAAGATGTCATTGGTTACCACACATATTCCATGTGTGTCTCTGAGCAGATTGCAGAGGGCCAGGACCAGAGCTGTCTTCCCAGAACCTACAGGACCACCTATCCCTACAGTAAATGCCCTCTATAACAATAGAAATACAACAGTGTAATAAAATACAGAAGTTGAATTTTTCATACTATATGAAAGCACATGTGATGCTATACAGGGTGTTCAATATGTATTCATAAATAAAGGCTGTCATTTTTTGTCATATTAGTAATCATTATAGACTATGTATACCATTGAGTGATGATTTGGTGAACCATGGGTTTTCAACTAGTTGAAAGCCCATGGGTGAACTAAATTGTTTTTACACATCTAGTTTTAGATATCTGGCTTAGGACTCAGTTTGCTGACGACTGTTCATAAGCCTGAACCAAAAGTTCACAAATATCATACTTTCAGTATCCCAACCTCATTGTACAATTTCTAATATTTTTTAATTATTCTTTATAAAATATGCACTCTTCTGGAGAAATATCTACTTTTCTGCATTTATAATTAAGATAATTAAATAAGAAAGGTTGATGTTATCTTTGGCCACCTTCATTTTCGGTCCATAAGTTGTTACCCATTCTAGACTAATAACTTTTATAGTACAATATAAAATAGAAAAAGGAGTCAGAAATTAAACAAACGTGTTACAACTTTCTTTTATCAGTATTAGTTGTACGTACAAACATAACACAGACATCTACGTTATATATTAATAGACCAGATTAGGAGTGCAAAGATCATGGATAGTAGTTGCAAATGTCTACTACTATCTCATTAAGTTTTAATTTAATTTGTACTCATTTATTCAACTTCTGTATTGATTTGACTTACAGTAGTACAGTAAAACTTGTGCATGTAGGCTCGAAATTATAATTACTGAACAATGAACTGTTTCCCTGGTGCTATGGTCACATTTGCTGAAACTTTCAGTACCAACACAAAATTGCATTTAGTTTTGAAAAGATACTCATTGGCTGTGCGCCGTTGTTGAAAATCAGAGCGAATGTGACCTTGACATTATTTCACATTGATTTCATTTCATTGAGTTTGATGTTTCAAATAAAAACATGTTAAAATGTGTACTGTAGTTTTAAGATTATATTGTGACATCTTTTGGCAAATATATTCAGGGTGGTCTATATTCTATCAGTATTAATTTTTTTATTTTCATGGTGGTTTATTACAATTTCATATAATAGACTATATTCTGGCATCTGGAACTTGTTCAGAAATGATCTGCAACTTTAATCTAACCTACTTGTTTCATGTTTTGTTATTTCATGTATTTTGCAACAAATTATATCTCTTAAATACTTGATATTATGTATTTTACTTACTTGTTTGAAATCAGATCTGTACTTAGGTTGATCACGCTCAATGTACGTGCCAGGACTCTCCATTGCTTCATGTGTGTGACCATGTTCTCCACCGTGGCTGTGTCCTTGTCCTCCACCGTGACTATGCTGGTCTTGGGATGTTGAAACTCTACCAGCTAAAAACATACTTATATGATGCATATATTTTTACTTGAATTGGTTTGCTTTACTCTATTGACTGATACATGTCAGGCCCAGGATTTGCCAAGGGGGGGGGGGGGGGGGGGGGGGGGTTCAGTTTTCCAAAATTTCCAGGGGGGGTTCACTTTTGACAATTTTGGCCAAAATATGGCTAAGAGAAGTGCTCAAAATGGTGAAAAACTGCATGATTTTGAAAGAATTTTTGGCCCCCCTGGCTACAGGCCTGCATGTGTCTCATAATTGTATGGAGTCTGCAGCTGATCATATCAACATTATTGCTAATAGCAATATATTTGATATCTATATTATTGCTATTAGTGATAACAGCAATATTTTCTGATGATATCTGAAAGCGCTAATTTCATGTGTTTTATACACATATTCTTCAGACCAAAATCATTTTTCAGATTTATCTTTTTTCTATTTTTTTTTCAGACTAGCAGAATGAGCAACATGTTTATCAGTTACTGCAACATCCCATTTAATCAACATAGGGGCTGGAAATAATTAGCAACTAAAACTGACTTCCCGCATCAATGTGAAAGCTTTTAAACTATATGCCATGTGTTAATTTAATCTATTGTTAATACTTAGTAGTCAGTTAGTTAATTTATGAAAACTAAACTTGTATTTCACGAAAGCAACTTTCGGCTGTCGGCAAAAGGATTAACTTATTTTTCTGCGACCAACTCATTAAAATATGAATGGAATAGTGGCAGGTTCATACCATTACTTGAATGAGTTGCCCATAAAATAGTAGGTAATTCTGTAGCCAATAGCCGAAAGTTGCATGCCGTATATAAGTTAAACTAGCCATTTGATCAGCTGTATTAAGGATATATAAAAGTAAATACATGTACTGTAGTATGTAGTCTTGATTACCTTTTAAGAAGTTACAGTGGTCTTCAGTGGAGGTGCTCATTCTGGTCAGAATTCCGGATGCTTTTGCTGTACCTGCAGGTTTTTATAGAATGTTTAATATGCTTGTGAACTTGGCAGTATTTAGTTTGGATCAATAGTTATGTACAAGTACAGTATATGAGCAATAGGGGGCCTGGGAAGAGGGGCCTGCTCACAGAGTCAGAGGCAGTTTGATCCATTGATCAATTCACTGTTCAGCTTTCATAGGGCTGTATCGGTGTCCTCATATGTCATTGGTCTAAAATGATTTTAGAGTCAAGGAGTAGTGTGAACCCAAATATTTTCTTTATCAGTAATGAAGGTCAATGAGTTTTCTTAATTTTACACATAAAATGCTGCTAGCAGTTCATATGTCCAGTTCAATGTTTAGACAATGTTAGATCATGATATGAGAATGGTGTCCAAGTGGCAGACCATGCGCATTGAGTGATATTCACGTGCAATTATGCCATTTTAGATGTCAAGCTAACCCACAGTTATTTTTAATCATAAAATTGTAATCTTTAGTACATGCTGTATTATACATGTAAAGTACTTACATATATATGTAAGCTCCTATATGCATTTAGTGTACAATTAAGTGCAGTCTTTTATACAGTTTATTTCAACAAGTGAAGGTACAGCTGGAAAATAACATTTTGGTAAAAAATGCTATACCTGCACATTAGGTCAATGGGAACTCCAGGAAATTCTGATATTTCACAGGAGCTACCATTGACCTGTTTCCAGGTTTACAAAAAGTAGACAATGTGATGATACTTTCCTGAAAAAAGCAAGGAAATATACAAAACCTTCATACTTAATTTTGTACCAGAAAATAACATGTGCAGGTATAGCAATTTTTTACCAAAATGTTACTTTCCAGCTGAACCTTAAAGCAGATATGAAATGGTATTTTTAACCTAAAGGAATCAATATAATTTTTTGATAAATGTATTTGGACATGTTTTCTCATCAGTAGTGTGAAAATTATTTCACTCTAACGATCGTTATAGCTGCTTAAGCAATATTCGAATTGGTTGTGACGTTATTGGCCCCCACGTGATCTCTCACTGGTCCCCACGTGGACCGTTTTGGTCCATTAGATCATGACGTCATAATGCCAAAATGTTTTGTTATTTGCTTACACAACAATCCGATGGTTGCTGTGACGTTGTGATCACTAAGGTACCGTGAATAAACCAAAACTATATTTTGTATATGACGTTACTAATCACGTTGGGGCTAATTTGATTGATCAGTTAGTTTTATTCGTTATCTATGACCGTTAGCAGTTATCTAACATTTATTTTATAATGGCTATCGCAAGAACTCTACGTTGGGCTTACAATGGAGAAAACTGCATTTTTGTAGCTGCAAGTTGAGAAAAGCTATTCCAGTTGTCCTTTAATTGTACTTTTGGAATTTTTATGCAGTCCTCATTGGAGTCACATGTTATTTTCAGGAATTAATAACTCATTTCATATATGGTCTACATCTTTCACATTTACACAAAGAGTACACTAACAAAATATTCTCCACACTCCTTTTCTAGGTACATGTACATTAACGCACTCTTTGTGCAAAACTGAAAGATGTTGGAAAGAAGAAGTCCATATTTGAAAATTGTAACATTTGGCTCCATGATGATATTGCATCAAAATGGCAGTAAGTCTACATTGACCTTAACCCAATATCTAGCTAATTTATTTGTCTGAATTTTCTCAGGTTTTGATTTAAAAAAATCATTGAAAATATGTCAACCATGAAAATGTCAGATAATAAATAAGCCCAGACTATGGTTTACATTGCTGAATAATTATACAGTTATGCACTTATTTCTGAATGGAATGTGTTTATAGCTTATCACACAATTTAGCTATCCTGACAAATATAGTTTGATAGAGGTAAGTAAACCTTCTGATGGAAGTGGGGTTTAAGGTGCCGTGGTACTTAACAGGAAGTGTCAAAACCATGCTGGATTTCAAACATTTTTTGAACCAAGATAACAGAGCTCTGTTTTGACCTCAGTCATTTTAATTAGCTCCACATGTCATTAACATGACCAGGATCACAATGGACATGGTCAGAATTATCCTTAACATGATGAAATAACTTTTTCAGCCCTCTAAACACGTGACTGAAAAATAGCTAAAAGTAGGCGCTTAGTAAAGGTCACTGAACAGAATCTTTTGAATTTTTCAGAAAATGTACCTAATAAATTGTTTTAAATGATACAATCATTGAAATTTTAGAAAATTGTCTGAAACAAAAATGGCGGTCATAAAAAGGAAAATAGATCACTTTTCAATTCAGTTTTTTTCATTTTTTTCTTTTTCTATAAATGATATCACATTTCAAAGATTGTTTCATTCATTTTCTATTGTTTTTAAAGAATTGAAACTTGGCAAGCTATCCAAAAGCAGTGTGACACTAAAGATGATTGACCGTGACATGTAGTGCACTAAAGCTGAACTTATTACAACCTATTCACTCATTCAATAGTTGAATAGTAAACACAAAAGAAATCAAATTTTGAACTGCACCTGGCCTGCTACATACAGCGCACTGAAGCTGAACTAATTACACCCACTCACTTCTCAACACACTTACCTCATAGTCAATACAAAAGAAATCAAATTTTCCTAAAATTGGGTCATGTGCCAATACCTTTCATAAGAGTAAGTGTGGGGTTTAAGTTAGACAAACCATTTGTACTGGGTCTTAGGAGAACTAATAGTCTCGGAGCAAGGCCTTCGGCCATTATTTATCCTAAAACCCAGCACTAAAGTTTATCTGTAACAGAAGATATGTTTTTACAGTCGGATTTGCTTCCCTGTAGTTGACTTTTGGCTTTACTTACCAACAAGCTGCCACTGTCAAAAACACCTTGAACTTTGAACTCAAACATTGCATGAGTATGAGTTGCAGAATGTCATTGTATACCTGCCAATATAATACAATCTATCTTGTGTGCTATATTCACTGGTGATCCGCTCGATTACGCGGGTTACCGAAACGGTTCATTTTGGTAACAAAATGTCGGAACGTCGAAAGTACGATTTTTCTTTTTTCCTTATTTCACGCGTTGTGGAAGAATCTCCACGACGTTTTTTTCTCACAATCGTGTATTAGCATCATATGTTATAGAATATGTTCATGTTTGCGAAAAAATAGCTCAAAAGATAACATAATCGTCGATTTAATTCCTCACTTAAGTTATATAAACGGTTTGGGTTAAAAGTGCAGATCTTAACTGTTTTTCGAAAAACCGTTTATGTAACTTAAGTGAAGAATTAAATCGACAATTCTGTTGTCTTCTGAACTATTTGTTCGCACATATGCATATTTTCTTAAACATATGATACTCATACACGTTTGTGGTAAAAAATGTCGTGGGAATTCTGCCTACAACGTGTGAAATAAAGAAAAGAGAAAAATCGTACCTTCGACGTTCCAACATTTTGTTACCAAAAGGAACCGTTTCGGTAACCAGCGTAATCGAGTGGATCACCAGTGATATTGTGATCAGTTTGCTGGCCAGTTGTATCACTATCCCAGCCAGAATCTTTGTCTATGCAATCCAAGCAAACCATTGAAGGGATTGATTCTAAATTTCAGAAGTGTTTCTTGTTATGAAATTCTAAAAACTGATTAGTTTTTTGCATGCTGGGTAAATTTTAAAAAGACCATTTTGGATTTTTTAAAACCTATTATACACATTTCCAACTGTGGTATGAATTTTAGAACTGATTTAACTCTTCTACAAATTTCACACTTATCATACTATTGCTATAATTCAGTATATATATATATATTATATATACCCTCCTGAAAGTCTAAAAGGTGCAAGGATTAAAAGGTGCAATATTGTTCTCAATGTGTTTTATTCTTTTATTTTAGAATTACTTACCATAAAGCTGCACATAACAATGTATGGTTGTGTGTTTACTGTACCTACATATTTTGAGTTAGAGACAATCTTTTGATTTGGCCTTGAACTGTTCTTATTTTATTATCAATAAATTAACTTGCAGAACTGTAAGGTTATAAAATAAGCGCAAACAAACACATTATTTATAAAATAGAGGAAGTTATTGTATTGAAATGGTATCAACAACAGAAACTATTACAGGATTTTAGAATATACATGTACCAATTAAGGATAACATAAGAAGACAATAAAAGGTCAAACTCTATATTATAATCCAGGAACTTAGTGAAGTAAGTTTATTTTTTTATTTCTTAGATTTAAAACATAGTTATAAAAAACAGAATGAACACAAACATAGTCTTGAGTTAAGTCTTAACCTTTCATAACCACACTCTATATTTAGTGAATTTGATTTAAGACTGTAGTAGAATTCTTAAAAGTGTATTCTGCACACATGTGTTCATTTGTTCGTTGACACTGAGACATCATTCTGTTATTATTATTTTAAAACATTCTACTTACTTCTGTTTTTCTGTGTAGTAATTTGTGTAATCACAGGTCCTGTGTAGTGTGAGGAAGAAATGGTAGTTAAAAAGAAACCTTTACTTAAAATATCATTGATATTTCCATCTATCTGTTGACTCAAGTCAGATAATCCAAAATATAATCACTATTTACAAGTAAAGAGTGTTTGTGCAGTATAAAAATTAACATAGAAGGAGTATAACATCAAGTAAACAAGATAAATGTCCTCAAGGAAGGCAAAGGTTTTATGAATTTAATTTTGCTATTCGTGGTTTGTTTTGAATCAGGTAGAATCAGATCTCAAACTACCTTTTCAAATAATTCTTTCTACTTTAGAGTAGTTTTTGCTCATATTATTTCTAGTCATATTTGTTTTCTAAAAAATAAAGTTCATTACAATTCCATTTCTAGATTTTGCTCCCAATAATTTTTTTTATTGAATCTATCAGATAATGTGAATTTGTCTGGAACTTATGAATTGTCACATTAAATTTGGAGATCTTAATTTGGTGTGTAATTTTAGTTCTAGAGGTTCTCTCAAACTTAACAAGTGGAAATGAAAAAAATTATTACTCTCAATTGTGATAATTTGTATAATAATCAACTGAATACAGCTTCTATTTGACAATTGTCATTGTGACATATGAAGTAATGTTTGTAAATGGGAAATTGTTTTTAAGTAGGTGAACTCTCAGTTTACCTGATAGTTGTCCTTAAACACGTCCATTATTTGATCTACAATTGCTTATCAAAGTTAATCCTACCATACCATGTATACATGTACATCAATGAATGTCCTTAACCATTTGAGATCACAGTTGTTCACAAATCCCATTAATGATCACTTAAAGGAAAGCCATGCCCAAATATTTTTATTTTGCAATACCTTGCTATATACATTACTTGGTCTATGATTTCATGATATGTATTTTATGGAGTTTAGTGTTTTTTTTACTTGATTAGGTATTGGCATTGTGTTTTGAATTTGGGCATACTTGTTGGCATTGTTTTTTACATTGTTTTTTGAATTTGGGCATACTTGTTGGTAATTAAGGTGGTGAATTAGTTATACACAGTGGGAGTAAAGTTGTAAGGATATAGGATATGAAGGAAGGTCAATGTAGATGTTGGTAAGTGGGACTGGGACAGAAGTGTGATATTTTGCATTTTAACTGATGAAATTAAGAACCTTGAAAAGACAGTTATATAGTAATTATGTCACCACCAGAAATAGCGGTCAGCACCTTGTTATTGACCTATTTTTGATTCAAAATGACTTTAAAACAGCTTTATAGCATTACAGACATAGGAGAAATTGCCAGATATTATACTCTAAAGAACATGTGTATTTAGAGAAACATATGGACGTTAATGACGTGTAATGACTTTAGTAGATTCCACAAATTGTAACAATTCAGAAACTAAGATTGATTTTATGTTTTCTTCTACACTGACAATGCCATTTTGGAATCTTTAATTCAAAATGACAGCTCCCAGTAGGTTTTTTATATCATTTTGAATCTGTGTTAAAATCAAATATGAGTGGATCTGGACAATAAATGATTTCAATATTCTATGAGCTGTTTAAATAATCCATACCAATAGACAAATCGAGAAAATATCTATGAATGTCCTTAGAGACATGGAGGCCAATTAACCTGTTTTTTTTAAACCACTGTTCATGTTATACTAGTTCTTTAAGAGATGGCCTTGCAATAAGTAGGGCAGTCGGCTCTTGCCTAAAATACCAATGATACCACATATACAATTCTTTCAGAAAATGTTCAATATAACATTATTTTGTCAGTGTACGAAAATGAAAATGGTGAAATCAAAATAATTTAGATTATACCACTCTAAGTCCGATTACAGTTGTATAACATGGGTCTATAACAACGGTATACAGTGGAGAGTGGTATATCGTCATCGTATACAACTCCTCCGTACACACTCCAGCGTATACCACTGTAGAAGTGCATTCTGGGAACTAATGAATATTGACCGAAGAACGAGGTGTATGTTTTGTTACACATGATTTCCTAGAATCAAGTGACGTCATAAATGGTTCCCATATGATTTGCTAGAATCAAGTGACGTCATAGATGGATCGATATCAACATCGGCATTACTGAGTTGGCTATGGGATATTTTTATGGTTTTTATAATTGTTATAATGGTTGTGTTTGAATCAACTGTAATTGAGCTTAGAGTGGCATATAATGGTTCATTCTGTATATCGTGCATTTTATACTCTCGTGAGAATATAATATATTCACTCGTTCGCTACGCTCACTTGTGAATATATTATATACTCACTCGAGTATAAACACGATATACAGAATGAACCATTATACAACCTCATATTACTCCTCTTGAAATTTTATCTTCCAGTAATGATGACTGTTTTAAAGTTGTAATACTTTATCCACCATTCATTCACATTAAATCTCTCGTTACTTTCTTATTTGACTTATTTTTTGAAACGTGTCTTGTGACGTGATTTAATGTTGCATTTTCTTTCTATAGTTGTATTTACCCTTACTGAACAATAAAGCCTGCACGACATCATTTGATTGAAGGGACCAAGGCAAATAAGGAATTGTATTACAGTGATGTTTTTATTCAAAACATATTTACAAGTACAACATAAAAGTTAGATGTCTAGTTATTATGAAGTACTTCATTCACCCTGAGTGTGATCTTCAAACAATAAAATTTGAACTCGTCTACTTGTATCTGTTGAAGAAACAATATTCAACGGTTGAGATATTAAAGGGGCTGTGTTTTCTGAAAATATATGTATATATTGGCAAATTATTTGCACTTTGGTATATTTTCCCTAATGCCCAATTAATGCCTAATGCTCATGCTATAATAATGCATTATATGAAACAGAAAAGTAACATTTTTACATGATTGGCTACTGTTGTTTTCCATCGTGATTGTATACTTAAAACTGTTACATCAAAATACATAATTTGAGATAACGTTTTTACGATTGAACAAAAATGTCTGATGAATATGAACAAATTTGGTAGTGGCATCTAACATTTTGTTATAGAAATAACAGTAGTTTCAGAGCACTGGAATCCTTTTCTCAAATGCTTGGCCACCTGGGCCTTTATTGAATGTTCTCAAAATAGAAATTGTAAAAACTGATTGTCCCACCATCAAAAAGTATAATATTATAAACTACCATTTGATTGAAAATATCAAAAACAAAAATAAGTCTGCAATGAATCAAAGAATTTCTGTTAGACGTGTACGTTGCATCTGAAAAACGAATACATGAATACCTGGCTCTTCATTGTCATAGCCTGGGATGAAGCAGGCAAATAATTCTTTTAAAAACATATGACAGTACCTCCCTGATAAAGTACTCTGATCAGCCACTAAAATTAAGCCCATTAAGATTTCACTATATTTAAGGTGGCTGTAACCCTGAAGGCCCTATGTATAACTTTATGAAATGTTTATGACATGATTATGTTTCAAAATCAAAAAGTTAGTGTCACTGACTTTGTTTTTTACTTAAAGCTAGAAAAAGCTTCGTACCTAAGTGCAACATATGAATTAAAAATGCCATTACCTGCTAAACTTTTATCCAAATTGTTAAATTACTGATCTTATGCTATAGCATGGAGCCACCTTTGCCAGTGAACAACTACCTTAATGGCCTATAACACAAAAATTCAATCATTAAACAAATATTTCACTTTTAATGCCCTTATCAAATTTTTATCTTTAGTATTTTGAACTGCCTGAACTGCTGTCAATCGAACCGAACATGCAAACATTTTTTCATCAATAACTGCACATAATCTAAACACTGCAGTGTCAAACTAGGTTTGATTGTTGATCGTGAATAATATATGCTGACTTTTCGATTTAGGCCTGAATTCTCAAGATGAAGCTAAGTCCTAGGGAGATTGAAGGCCTGTTGATACATCAGACAGGATGCCTTGCACAGAAAAGGTTGGCCAGAGGCATAAAATTGAACCATCCTGAGGCAGTGGCTCTCATCTCAAGTCAGGTAAATACAAATGTATACAGGCGAGATCAGTAAGTATACAATGTTCAACTTAAAATGCCAAAACACGATATTATTATTACATTAATTTTATGAATCTATTCAGTGGCGTGACCAGGAAGACAAGGCCAAAAATATTTCCAAACCTGTAAAAAGTGACAAGGCAAGTGCCTTGTCCATCTCATCATGGCTACTTTAGGCTATGTGATTCAATCATGGAACAGAGAAACATTTCCATCATTCAGATTGCACAATCAATATAAGGTATACAGTTAATTTACAACTTCATTGATAGAGGACTATTTCTCAAAGTATCATTCTGGCTATGCAACAGCTATTTCTTTTTGATCTACACTGACTGAATTGTACAGCCAATGTCCGATGTCTTGTTAATGTATGACTGTTTTAATATAAAATCCGTAGTTGAATCTGAAGCTCTGTACATTAGTTTGTAAATTCTATGATCACCTTTTCTATTTAGTTACTGGAGTTTGTCCGGGATGGTACCAATACTGTTGCTGACCTCATGCAGAAAGGACGTGAATTATTAGGTAATGTACATTCAATGGGCTTTAAGAGGAAACCCAAGAATTATTTCAAAGTTTTTCTTTGTGTTTGATCTGTCTTATATATTTCAATCCTTGCCAGTCTAAGTTAGTGTCTTTGGATTATTTTAGACTAAAAAAAAAATCTTCCCAGAATTTCCGACTAGAGTAAAACCTGTCTTAGTGAACACATCTCTATAGTGAACACCTGTCTCTAGTAAACACCCTTCCTCAGCACATACTCTACTGACTTCTGTATGAATCACCCTTTGTAGTGAACACCTACCAACACTGAACATTTTTTGACAAAAACATGTACAGGAGAAAGTCCTATACATCACTTTGTTAATATAGGCCATAGACAAGTTCCATTTCAGACAGATACGACTCATTATTGTAGGCCATAGACAAGTTCTATTGAAGACAGATACGACTCATTATTGTAGGCCATAGACAAGTTCTATTGAAGACAGATACGACTCATTATTTAGGCCATAGACAAGTTCTATTGAAGACAGATACGACTCATTATTGTAGGCCATAGACAAGTTCTATTGAAGACATATACGACTCATTATTGTAGGCCATAGACAAGTTCTATTGAAGACAGATACGACTCATTATTGTCGGCCATAGACAAGTTCTATTGAAGACAGATACGACTCATTATTGTAGGCCATAGACAAGTTCTATTGAAGACATATACGACTCATTATTGTAGGCCATAGACAAGTTCTATTGAAGACAGATACGACTCATTATTGTAGGCCATAGACAAGTTCTATTGAAGACAGATACGACTCATTATTGTAGGCCATAGACAAGTTCTATTGAAGACAGATACGACTCATTATTGTCGGCCATAGACAAGTTCTATTGAAGACATATACGACTCATTATTGTAGGCCATAGACAAGTTCTATTGAAGACAGATACGACTCATTATTGTCGGCCATAGACAAGTTCTATTTCAGACATATACGACTCATTATTGTAGGCCATAGACAAGTTCTATTGAAGACAGATACGACTCATTATTGTAGACCATAGACAAGTTCCATTTCAGACATATACGACTCATTATTGTAGGCCATAGACAAGTTCTATTGAAGACAGATACGACTCATTATTGTAGGCCATAGACAAGTTCTATTGAAGAAAGACAGGATTTAATTTTTTTAATCATAGACAAGTTGCACCTCATATATCAGACATGACTTATTATTTTAGGCCACATACGAGTTCTACCTCATATTTTAGACATGGCTTGTTATTTTAGGCCACAGACAAGTTCTACCTCATATTTTAGACATGGCTTATTATTATAGGCCAGAGACAAGTTCTACCTGGTGTTGCAGACATGATTCCAGATGTTCAAATAGAGGCAACATTCCATGATGGTACAAAGTTGGTAAATACATTAGTATAAGAAATATTATATATATTATGACTGAGATTGATCAATATACTTATCCTGTCCCAATAAAAAAAAGTAAAAGATCAGTTTACCAGGCAGCTGGGTGGAGTATTCCAAAATCTTTCATAATTTTTATCTGTTGTTCCCTGTGTAAAGTCAGTTTTGTCATTTGCGATATCTTAGGGAACATATATTTGGTTTTAAGATTAATTTATTTAAGAGTTTGTAAACCTAACCCAAATGTACATCATTTATTATCACTTCATCAAATATCAATACACAGCTAAATATTTTTGGGGGAAAATCTTTTTTACATGGTACGAGGCCCAATCAGAAAGTAAGTAACCGACTGCTCTCATATTCTTCATACTTTATTCAATCACATTGAAAATTTCACAGATGATGTAGAAAATATTAACCTATTAAATAAGATCAAATACAATGGGTTAGCGACAATGCCATTGTAATGGCGTTTACTATGGTAGCCATTGCTTTGGGTAGGCGGGGCACCCTTTTATAAGCTGTCTTTGAGGATAATTTGTTGAGTTTTTTTACATCCTGCTAATTATGCAACTCTGCAAAAGTTCTTCTGTATTTTCTTCCTGTAATGTTCTTGACACTCCGAGATGTATGTGTATTTAAATATATAACAAAAGAACAAAAACAACACAGTAGTTCATGTTTAGATTTTAAGTAAATGTAATTGTCATCCCATTCTTATCATTATTCTTCATGATATATGCTGTTTGATTATTTCCCCCCACAGGTGACTGTACATAAACCTATCTGCCGGGAAGATGGTAACTTGGAGCTGGCCTTATATGGAAGCTTTCTTCCAGTTCCAAATGTAACTATATTTGCTAATAAGGTACGCAATGATACTCTTAGTTATGATTTTCATAAGAATTAATAACGATTGAAAAATGTAAATATCTTAGGGTAACTGTCTAGTTGACCTGACCCTTATCCCAATGTCCCAACTATAGGCAAATGAAGCCCATTGCATTGGTCTTGGTCTGAGAGAGAACCCAAATATGGTCTGGAATGTGAGATGAATGATAAAGTTAATGAAATATAAGAAGGTAGTGAATAGACTATATTAGGTCCTTGCATATACATGTATGTACTTGCAGAAAGAGGAAAAACTAACAAAAGTGGACACATCTTTGGATGTAACACCAGGAGAGCTAGTGCCAGCTAATGCAGGGCCCATTGAGATAAACAAAGACAGAGAAAGAGTTCAACTTGTTGTGACATCAATGTGTGATAGACCGATACAGGTGAGCCAATTACACACTTGAGCCTCTCAAAAAGGTTTTGAAGTTCAGACAACAGTTCTTGAAAACCCAAAATGGCCGCTACTTTTGTCCAAAAAAATTACTAAAATTGTCAAAGATTTTCATTTTACAAATATGTTCTCTCAAGTGATTATCCATTATATGGATATACATTGTATCATTGTCATTGATTTTTGATGTAACAACAATAGACTACAACATTTTTTGAAAGGTTTAACAATGCTAAACTTGCTATATGAGTATACATGTAAGAAATGTGACAAATGGTTTAAGGTATAGCTGTCATTTCACCTGAAAATATTGCATCAAATGAGACCAGTACCCTTGGTGCTATTGAAGTTTACATAACATGAATAAAACCGTAGATCTTATCCATTGGAAAAAGTTTAAATTACCATATTTATCCAAGCATATCAGAAACTGTCTTACTATTTCATGGTTCTTATAAAATATATCCTTTTATTTCAGATAGGAAGCCATTACAATTTTATAGAAACAAACAAATATCTAAGGTTTGATAGGGCAGCCTCCTATGGAATGCGACTGGTAAGGAATTGGAATAGAAGTTCTTGTCCTTGGTTTTAAAATGTGTCTTTAGCAACAAACATTTAATTTTTCAAATAACCTTGGTCAACACACAAAGATTCAATTTTTCAAATAACCTTGGTCAGCACATATATACAAATATTTAATTTTTAAAGGTTCAGCAATTTTTCTTCACATCTCATACTATGATTCATTAGAAATACAATTTTCACCAGCTTGTGAGTATCCTCATATTTATGATGAAGATATTCAAATGCGATAAAAATAATTCTACAATATCCTACACTATAATTGGATTTGATTTCAAAAGTGAAATTTCAGTATACATGTTCATATAAAACGAGAATAGCATTGTCTGTATGTATTTTCAGAACATTGCTGCTGGTACAGCTTTACGGTTTGAGCCAGGTGAAAGTAAAATTGTTGAATTGGTGGCCATAGGGGGTAAGAAGGTTATACGTGGTGGCAATGGATTATGTGATGGTGCTGTGGACCCTGATCAGCTTGAGAAGATCATGATGAAAGTAAAGGAACAAGGATTTGGTAATGAGGAAAATGATAGCACTGTGAGTAGCATTTATACATAACATTACTTTGTCACATAATCTATTTCAGAGTACCCTGTGCTCAGAGTCTAGTTATAAACTACCCTCTGCCTATTATATAGACTATATTACAGTTTAGCAGCCCCGCCCCCACGACCGATGCTTGTGACAGCTCGGGTCATAAATCATTTCACACCTACCGCGCTGGCCTATTCTCAACCAATCAGCGAGCTGGAAGGAACAAGTGCTAAAGTCGTGCACAATAATTATATGATTATGTCAGAGAAAATGACCATATAGAGAGTTGTCCTTATTTCGAATATATTTTCAGCTAATCATATTTCATTATATTTGACACACCTCCAAACATTCTCAGCATATGAATACATCGTTTCTTCATGGTGTGAAACAGTCACAAAATTTTGAGAAATTGCTTGATGTCAACAACCTTACATGATGTTCAAAGCCTTCATTCATGGTTTACAAGGTCATTGAAGTAGACACACAAGGATAACAATGTCACTTTTGCCTGGTACATTTTATCAAATTCACTTTGAACTAGACATTGATGTGTTCTCAATAGAGAAAGTAATTGACTGATCGACTAATCAAAAAGTTTTTGTATATTTCTATGTATTGTACAGAAAAATGCTTTTTAATCCCAACAATTGTATTTTTAAATATGTCATTTTGCCCGACTGATTTAAAAAGTGAGAATAAATAAATCAATATTATATGAAATATCAAAAACAAGTTGAAGTAACATTGAACAATGTGGTTTAAAAGGCTTTTCTGTAATGAAGATGAATTGAAATACATTACATATTTTTACAAGCATAGTTTGGGTATTTTTTATTGGTGGTAGTAGCATGGGAGCTGATTGGATTAAATAATGGAACCAAATTATACACATATTTTCGGAAAGTAGTTGATTTGCCTGCCTCATAGTTACTTGTCCATGATGTTGAGAAAGTCTTAAAAATTAAATTACATCAGTCACATTTTTCATTTTTACATCAGTTTCCTAAGGTAGCCAATTTTTATTTTCTCAAAATCCCTTGCACGTTGTCTGGGTCTCACTTAACCTTTGAATGGTGCACTATATTTACGAATAAAAAGCAGATTGTCATTGGATTTATATTTATTGTATTGTATTTGACATCAACACAATGAATCTTGTATATGAGTCCTATTAGATCTTATAACCCGTGTCATGGCAGCCTGATATGTCAAGCAAGTAACTGTCTAGCTGTTTTAGGACGAGAGCAGAATGAACTCTTATAAGTAATGTATGTTATACTAATTGTAGGGGAATGATTCTATACAGTACATCAAGTAAATCAAGAACTTTGAGAGAAATAATTTCTAGGACCATTTGTGTGATTATGTCAGAGTATTGTCATAGTAATAAGATGATGACATCATTATATTGTCCCAACTGACTCATTTAAGATTTATTGATTGCGAGGTCTCCTAAACATCGATAGGCCTCTATAGGAAAAAAACTTTCAGTCTGTGACAATGATGACCAGACTATGAAGTTATTTACCAAGAACATTAACAGAACTTTTTTCAGACAGGTGTATTTTTTTCTTTTATTAAAATCAATATAACATAGTAGCTGGGACAGAATAAGTCTTTCCTTTTTTTTCCAGCCCTTTTAATCCTGATTAATTTTTCATGAACTTTTCACGAATGAACTTCAAAGCATTCCTTACTACTACTACCTACTAAATATTTTTTACTCAATCAATAAATAATTACAGCTTTTCAAAAATGATGGCCAACTTCTGTTAAGGACCATTTTCTCACCGCTGGTCCCACATTGTCAATTTTGTCACCCTTTCTAGTCTGTTGGGAACGGTCCGATTTCTTTGTATAGGGTGATAAAGAACTAGTTAACCCAAACATTTGGGCTTACATGTAGTTATATCTTTAAGTGGGTGTTACTGTTGTTGGCTGAGGCTTATGTTGTCTTGATATATTTTCAAGTAGCTCCCAACCATGAGATGCCATTAAAGGGGCATTAAAACAAACATAATTCACGAAGCAAACATTTATACTATCTGTATTTAAATTACCAAAGTACTTTTCATCTTTAATACAAGGACATTCAATAGAAAGATAAAGATGAGCAACCAGGGTCAGGGCGAGGATGTTAAGGCATTTTAATTTTTTGTACATGTAACTTTTATATTTCCCTTTTTTACCTTATATCATTGTATACCATGTAACTGTCTAAATAAATAGACGCAAATAAAGAATACATACATACTGTACATACATTAGGTAGCATCTCAAAGTTCAATGTAGGATTACTATCTGTATTTGAACAGTTTATCTATGACCCCCCCCCCCCACCCATAACTGTGTTTGAGGAATGTTGATATGCATCATTGCATTAAGTCACACTATATCTAACATAATATCGTAAAACAGTCAATTTTTTTATAATTATTCCAATCTGTATCTTTGTACAGTATCTGCATAAAATCTTTTGTATTTTATATTACTGAAGAATCCTAAGTTTATATCCAACATGGTACAAGTAAAATTCCCAGGAACGATATCGGAAAGCTTTTAAGGCTAATGATCCCCTTCCCCATAACTATTCAAATACTGTAAATTTTCCGACAACGATCTTTTGAAATGCTTCCATGAAAATGTAATCATTGTAATCATAATAGAGGGATTTTCAAGTTGAATTTTTAACTCCAACTCAGAATATGATGGGGCAATTTTATTAATATTTTTCGGGTAAATATGTCAAAGCACGGCATATTATTTGTGGACAGTTTCCCCGATACCAACAGGCAGCCATATTACTGATGAAAACACCAAACTGTAAAAGGATTGGACTTTCAGTCAGAGCTAGCTTTAATATACAAGCTGGTGACCTCAGCATATTTTCCATGCTTCGTTCCAATTCCTAATTGTGTTTGTAGGCTCAACAGAGTAAGGTAGTTGCACCTGAAGCCGACTGTTGCACCATTTCTAGGTTCAATTACTCCCACACATATGGTCCCACTGTTGGAGATAAGGTATGTGGTTATGCTACTAAATATATGTTCATATTAATTAGTGAATACACCCTTTGCAGATTGGTAAGAATCAGTTGGTAACGTTTCTAGGTTTTAGGCTGATATAATGATGGCAATGATAAAGTTCATATGTTAATAATACTCTTAAAGAGAGTACAGTACATGTATATAAACCAGTTGGCTACACCGCCATCTTATTATGAACAGTCTATCAACCTAAGCTTATATACTAGTAAATACCAATGCATGACATCTCTCTGGTCCCCCACGTTGTGCTGATTTCCCTAGATCTTTTATTCCTAATAATCCTGAGGGAACCAGAACAGAAAAAGGGGACACATGACAGAAACAAAATTTTTTGTCTTATTACAAACATGAACACACAAACCATAGCGACAAGATGGATAGAGAAAATATGGATACTTACTGCCATCTTTTTGCTGAGCTCGTACTATCACTCAAACTATGTAATGTGCATTAATACAGAAATGTTATTTGTATCAAAATCTCGGTGATTTGTAGAAGTACAAATAATGATAAATATGTAATTTGACCATTTCAGGCTATGTTACTTTGAGATCAGATGAAAAATTCAAATATTTCCTTTTCTTCATTAGCTTAACATTAGAATAATTTTTTGTTCGTTTCAGTTGCGACTCGGAGATACAACTCTATTTATTGAAGTGGAGAAAGATTTCACAGTATATGGCGATGAGTGCAAGTTTGGAGGTGGAAAGGTTAGACCAAAAAAAATTTTGTTTCTCGTGACCAGACTTTCATTTTAGACCTGTCACCATGGGCATTCAAGCAGTGATTTTTCCTGTGAAAAGATTTTCTCTTTTATGTAAAATTATTATGAAAAATTGAAATGAAATAAATATTTAAAATAAAAATTCAAATAAATGTTACATTTTTTCCCAGTTAGGTCAGATAGCATTCACATTAACCTCAATGAATTTTCAAGTCATCTCAAGTTGTTGACATTTTGAGCATCTATACATGCACGCACATTGTGGATGAGTCTGTAATTTAATGTTCTCTATCATTGAATCTGTTTTAGGTGTTAAGAGAGGGCATGGGCCAGGCTGCAGGAGTGTGCAGCAATGTAGCTTTAGACACTGTTATAACAAACGCTCTCATAGTTGATGCTGCTACTGGTATTGTAAAAGCTGACATTGGAATTAAGGTGAGAATTGAGTACCTGTCTGATCCAAATACCTATGGAACCAGTTAAAACTGTTTGAATTAACAGGTGTTCACATTTCAAGGTTTTTCTAACATGTAGGTCAATGGAAGAGAACACACTTGGGTCAGAGAAAAAGTGTTCACATTGAGAAGTATTCGGATTAGAGGGTTGTTCGGATATATATACAGGTTTCACTGAATGCTGTATTTGTTACAATAAGTCTTTAAGGATTCATAAAGTGTTTGTAAATTATTTGATATGATCTGTTATTCTACGATATCAGCATGACCAAAGGCTTTGAAGCAAGATTACATTATGTTGAAGATTGATGCAATGTTTGTTTCAGGATGGTATGATAGTTGATATAGGGAAAGCAGGAAATCCTGATGTAATGGACAATGTCAGTGAGGTATATATATTTTTTATGTTTATTTGTTCCTCCAGTATTTTATAAGCCATTTAATAGAAAATTAGTAGATGAACCAATGTGTAACCAAACTTCCAGCTTGAGAACTGGCATGATCAGATGTGACACGGACATGACATAGCTTCATCAAGACATGACATTGACTCAACCTGACAACTAAATTAAACTAAACTAGACATGACTTGGACTCAGTCATTCTCAATCATATGTAAACTAGTCATGACATAGATTCAACTAGACATGACATAGACTCAACCAGCAGACATGACATTGAACATGAGCCTTCTAGAAACTCAACCAGATGTCAACTAACCACTTGCAACTATCCATACTTCAGAAACTGGTGGTTGGTGTGGGAACTGAAGTGATAGCTGGTGAGGGTTTGATTGTAACTGCCGGTGCCCTAGATGCCCATGTCCACTTTATATGCCCCCAGTTGGCTAAAGAGGCTATAGCTGCAGGGATCACTACAATATTTGGAGGGGGCACGGGTCCTGCTACAGGGTCAAATGCAACTACATGTACTCCTGGTCCTAATCATATCAAGTATGAATGATTTATATTAATTCAACAGGACATATCTGTAAAACAATATAATTGTCTCGCAAATCTTTAACTCCGCTGTCAATGTACACTAGGGGCCCATGATACATTACAATCTAGGCCTTCTTTATATGTAACATATTGGGGAAAAACCATGCAAATATATAAAACTCTAACCTTAATGACCATTCAAAATGTTCTGGATAATACATAATGTTAAACTTTAAAAAACATCTGTTGAGCCCAATAATTTATGTATGCAGAATTATACCTAGTTTTAATATAATATTTTCATTGTCAGGGCTATGATCCAAAGTACAGATGCATTCCCACTTAACTTTGGTTTTTAAAAAACATCTATTGAGCCTAATAATTTATGTATGCAGAATTATACCTAGTTTTGATAGAATATTTTCATTGTCAGGGCTATGATCCAAAGTACAGATGCATTCCCACTGAACTTTGGTTTCACTGGTAAAGGGAACACTTCAAATAGTTCTGGCAAGTGTGATGAACTGGAAGAGCAGATTAAAGCTGGTGCTATAGGGTAAGTATTTCTACAACAGAAGTTATGGTTATTGACAATAACTCATGTGGGTTTTGCACTTAACTGTATCACTATTGTGACACCTTTTTGTTTGGTGACACTACATGTGTATCTCCATGTTGACACTAGAGTTATTTATTTCGATGCTGCATTTTCTCTTATGTAACACTACTTCTTCATGGTGACATTGTATTGTCTTTGAGAGGTTATTTATATTAAGCATAAATGTGAAAAAAAAAGTTCACGCTAACTTATCTGAATATTTTTTCAGATTAAAACTGCATGAAGACTGGGGGTCTACTCCTGCAGCTGTAGACACGTGTCTCAATGTAGCTGATAAACTTGATGTACAGGTATATCCATCTTTAATTTTCTTTAGGGTATATAGTGTTTATGATTATATGAGATTGTATGAATATTATGACTTATGACTATGTAATCCTGAGATTTAACATAGAGGTCTAAATAATTGTGTGAAGAGGAATAGCCAGGAATTTATTTTCAAAATGATTTTTTAAAAACTTTTATCTTTATACAAAAGTGCATACCAACAGAGTTTGAGATACATGCCTACTACTCCGGGGATTCACTGTATACAAAATTCGGTTGGGGTCCTTGGCTGAACCCTCAGATATCAGTATGTTCCCATACCAACCAAAATTTTGGGGGCATTCTCATACCAGATCCTAGAAGTTGGGTCTATTGCCATAGCAAATGTCAAAACTGGTACCCAACATGCGCCGAGGATTCCCTGTCAAGGTTTAGGAACAGTTAACTCCCCAGGCCTACTACAGGGAACCATTGGTCAATGTACATGCATACATGAACCAACAGAAAGAATTGAAAACATGATTTCTGTGTTGTTACTCATTGAAGATGTATCTGTTTTGTATGTGAACATATAGGTTATGATCCACACTGACACCCTCAATGAATCCTCCTGTGTGGAACAAACAGTCGAGGCATTCAAGGGCCGCACCATCCACACATATCATTCTGAGGGAGCAGGCGGGGGCCATGCCCCAGATATTATCAAGGTGTGTGGGGTGAATAATGTTCTGCCATCTTCAACCAATCCAACTAGACCATATACAAAAAACACCATAGATGAACATCTTGATATGTTAATGGTCTGCCACCACTTGGACAAGTAAGTATTTTCTCTATTTTCCAGTAAATATTTTATTGAATCCAATGTGAAACTGGGCTATACAGGATATTTTTAGGATATTAGTATTAAATGCTATCACTACAGAGAGTAGATAACTTCTAAGATTTGGTCTTTGTGTCACCATCACAAAACTGGTGACATATTGTTATAGTTTCAACTTTTTTGTGCATGGTGTTCGGTGTTTTGTGTTTGGCAGTTGTAACAAATGGCAGCTGGTGACATTTTGCATGCCTTGTAATATACGTGTCATGTTTATGCAATTCTGGAATGTTGTGCTAAATTGCTATTAATTTAATAGTGATGCCAGCCATGTGAAAGCCGCCATTACTGCATATCTTATTTCATCTACATTTTTGTTGTTTTTTTAAGGAACTTGAAAGAAGATGTAGCATTTGCTGAGTCTAGGATTCGTTCTGAGACAATTGCTGCTGAGGATATTTTACACGACATGGGAGCAATCAGTATCATCGCATCTGACTCCCAGGTAAAAATTTTCCCCAAATTTTACAAAGTGTGTCATTATGAATGATGTTCTCATATTTCTCAATGGTTTTCTTCAATACACCGGAAGTTACGATAATAAAGATACCATGTCAGGGTCAAAGAGGAACCAGTGTTTTTAGAGCCATTTTATGCCCATTAAATTGTTTATTTAAAATGACTTTTATTTCATGATACTAGGCATTTGATTAATGTAATATGTTCTTACTTAAGGCCATGGGTCGTATAGGTGAAGTTATAACAAGAACGTGGCAGACTGCAGATAAAATGAAGAACTTTAGGGGCAGACTAGCAGAGGAAAAGGTGAGTGAGACAGATGGAGGTATCAAAGGGGGTTCAGAAATCCCAAATTCTTTGCTCTTAACATATTATAATGGTTCAAATAATATCAAAAATCACATTTGTAAATACTAAAATGTATAATAGCTAGTCAATATTTTCCCTTTTCAATAGTTTAATTTCGGTAAAACATGTATAAGTGAAAACCTCTCTCTAGTGAACACCTGTCTCTAGAGGATACCCTTCCTCTGCACATACTCTACTGACTTCTGTATAAATTACCCTCTCTCTCTATTGAACACCAACCAATTAAACATACTTTAGAGCTTCATCTTCATATAGTTACAATATAAAACCTGAGGCTGTTACACAATACAATCTGATCATATTGCTGAGGGTCAACTCTTCTTGTGATGTGAATTATCAGTCACTTGTTCCGTAAAATATCAGAAATCGTAACTTAATTTCTGAGACACCCTCTGACTGGTGCAACAATAGATCATGCAACTTACTATATTTCTTTATTTAGGGTGAAAATGATAACATCAGAGTTCGCAGATATGTGGCCAAGTATACGATCAACCCTGCAATAAGTAATGGAATGGGACATCTCATTGGTTCCGTGGAGGTAAGTGCTACATTATAACCGTTATTACTTCAGATATAATGATTCTTGTCTTCAAACCCTATATACATAGCGACACATACGGTCGCTTTGACTTGAACTTGCTAAAGATCCAATGCAAGCAGAAGATAAGGGGGAGTTTTGTACACTGTAGATCATGTCTATTAGAAGCAATCTAGTAAGAATATTTTGTCAAAATATCCAGGGGTGTAGCTAGGATAGAGCTACGCGAGGTAAATTTAAGCCAAATGAGATAAATTGCTATCATTGGACTTCAATTTCAGAATAATTATAATCAATAACTATTTCCAAGATTTGTATCTAAGAATAATTTGGTCAATGATTACATTGTACCAATACATGTATATATATTATATGGTATATGTAAATGTACCATGAGTTATAATAGAGGATAATGATTTATTGCAGGTAGGCAAGCTTGCAGACCTCGTCTTATGGAATCCTGCTTTCTTTGGTGCCAAGCCAGAGATCATAGTGAAGGGGGGATACATAGCTTGGGCACAGATGGGTAAGATACAAGAAACACTGTATATTATTATGTTTAATAGAGGTTTTACAAAAAATATATGACTGGTCCCTATATCCCTAGGTGAATTATGTCTAGTAGATCTGTATTCCTTATGAGACTGATCCTAATTAAGCCCTTTATATTTGCTGCTACATCTACCACTTTCCTCATGTCATTCAAATTGCAGGAATGCCGAATGCCTCGATTCCAACCCCACAACCTGTGAAACAGCGGAAGATGTTTGGAGCCTATGGAAAGTCCATTGGAGGACACTCTGTTATCTTTACATCAAAACTTGGTAAAGAATCAAACACTGTTGCCTCTTATGGAATATCCAAAAGAATTGAGGCTGTACGAAACTGCCGCCAACTAACGAAGAAAGATATGATCATGAATGATTATCTCCCCACACTTTCAGGTAGGCTAATTATTTATGTAAATAAAAATTAAATGAAATCACAAAAGTTTTCAATAGTTTGTTGAGTGAACTTGTACTTCCCGCAAAAATTCTAGATCTGTCGCATTTTAGTGTTGTTTGATCTACACATGTGATGCTTCATTTAGCTGCTATATTTTAAATATTTACATTGTCTCCTAAAGGAGAAATCTGTTATGTAAATGCTCCCTTGATTCCTCTATTCTATGAGATGATATTCATGTCTCCCATATAACTGAAAGTATTAGAGGTTCTATTGTTTCATTATTGAATTGAACATGTACTTTTCATGTTACTTTATTTGCAGTTGATCCACAGTCATACCGTGTGAACATTAAGCATGATGGTGATAAGGAAGATGAACATTTGACATGCCCACCAGCTAACAGACTGGCTCTTACACAGAGATATTTCCTTTTCTAACATAATGAATGACACATAGAGACTTGAGATTCATATACAATACAGTAAACATGGCTGGAATACTGAACACATAATTAGAGGACCTGTTATACATTGGTTATACATATGATCCACTCTACATGTGTGCAACTGATGCAAACAGTTGGAGATCACTTATGAGCACTTGACAATGAAAGCCCAAACACTAAAACCATGTATATTTGACTAAAATACTCAAAACAGATAATAATGTACTGTTTCAAAGGATGCTTAGATCATATACAGGGTGTGATTTAAGTTAGGGGAAATAAATTACTGTTCCATAATTCAGTTCTGCCAGTATGTCAAACATCCTGACAGTGTACCCTAAATACATAGGGGAAAGATATTGAACAATTTTACACGCTTTCGCAATACAAAGTATAAACCTTTTTATGTCCCCACCACATAGTGTGGGGCCATATTGTCGGCCTAGGCGCGTCCGTCCATCTGTCTGTCCGTCTGTCCGTCCGTCTGTCTGTCCGTCCGTACGTCCGGCAGTTTTCTCCAAAACCGTTACAGATATCACCTTCAAATTTTCAGGGATAACTTATGAGTGCATAAAGATGTGGATGAAAAAAAATTAACTCGATACCTACTTCCTGTCGGCCATTTTGAAGTCAAATGCTAAAATCCTTGTCTGCAAACTTTAAGAAAAACGGCCTCACAGTTGCTTTTCAAACTTTAACATCTTGTTCAGATCACTTCATTCTAGATCTGATTAGGTTTTGGACCTGTTAGCTCAGTCAAGTCAGCCATTTTGAATGTTTAAAGAAAAGTTAGCGCACGATAATACTTTGTATCATATTGAATGGTGTTTTTCAGTTTTCATACTTAAACTATTTAGTAGCTTTATAAATAATTTCATGTGTACTTTGTTGTAAAAGCCTATTTTATTGTTAACAGTAGTTATATGTGATAATTTTGCAAAAAGAAATCAGCAAAAATCCATAATCACTTTTTTATTGTCGGCCATTTTTGATTTTTCCGTCCTAAAATCTTGTCTGTAAAGTCTTGTCTACGCGTTTTCAGGTGAACCGTTTGGTAAATCAATTTCAAATTTTCAGGGATGATTCTTAGTATGAAAATCTAGATCTGATTAGTTTTTAGGCATTCTGGGTAAATGTCAAGGCAGCCATTTTGGATTTTCCGTCGTAAAATCTTGTCTGTAAAGTCTTGTCTACGCATTTCCAGGTGAACCGTTTGGTAGATCAATTTGAAATTTTCAGGGATGATTCTTAGTATGAAAATCTAGATCTGATTAGTTTTTTGGCATTCTGAATAAATGTCAAGGCAGCCATTTTGGATTTTCCGTCTTAAAATCGTGCCCGTAAAGACTTGTCTACATGTTTTTAGGTGAACCGTTTGGTTGATCAATTTCAAATTTTCAGGGATGATTTTTAGTATGAAAATCTAGTTCTGATTAGTTTTTTGGCATTCTGGGTAAATGTCAAGGCAGCCATTTTGGATTTTCTGTCCTAAAATCTTGTCTGTAAAGTCTTGTTTACATGTTTTCTGGTTAACTGTGTGACGGATCAATTTCAAATTTTCAGGGGTGGTTCTTAGTATGAAAATGTAGAACTGACCAATTCTTTGGCATTCTGGGTAAATTTTAAGGTGGCCATTTGGATTTTCCGTCCTCAAATTGTGTCGGTAAAATCTTGTCTACTCATTTTTAGGATAACCATTTGACGGGATCACCAATAGGTGGGGACATTTTGTACACATTTGTGTTCTTGTTTGCAATTTGTATTTACATGTAAGACTTTAATAGAAAGTCACCATAGAAATGTTTCATAAATGAAATGTTTTTGCATTGTATGATAGTGATATGCTCAAATCACATTCCAGATTTATTTCTCGGCAAGGCCATAAAATTGGTACATGTCCAGATGAAAGTAACTGATAATGGCTTGTTTTTCCCAACAGTTACTTACTTCATTGTTTTAATAGCTTCGTATATCTTGCTTTTGTATCTACATCCCCATAAAAATACAACTACACTCAGAAAAATAGAGGAATCAGAAAAGAATGCCATGAGATTAGTTATAAAGAATGCTTCTATACACCCCCAAAATGCAATCTGATTTTCGACGCCGTTTCGGTGCCAAATTTCGGTGCCATTTCGGCACCAAATGGACTGACTAGTCCGGTGGCAAATTTTGGTGGCAAAAGGTTTCGGTGCCGGAACGGTGTCGAAACGGTGCCGGAACAGCCCCAAATTTTTTCGATGCCGAGGACGGCGCCGAATTATATTGCAAACACTTATATTATGTATTGAGCTTCAAATGTACATATTCGCCGAACACTTCATTCTCCATTATATGACATCTTAGTCTACATGGCAACAGTTTCTATAGTATCTATTTATTTATGTATTTCCAACCAAATCTTTACATTTTAGAATACGTGTTATAGAACATAAATATAAAAAGTTTAACTAAACTGATCTGTGTTGTGTCTTTAAACATCAAGGTTTTGATCACACATTCTAATATTAAATATATGATAATATTTAATATTCAGTTTTCATATTTTCAGTACATGTATGTAACAAGGCATTAACATGCAAAATGTTGTCACCTGCCATTTGTTACAGACAGTGACTGCTTAACACGATCCACAAAAAGTTGGAGACTAGAACAATATGTCACCACTCATTGTGGTGACATAAAAATGGAACTATTCAGTTGGCTCACATGACAATTCCTTATGCTAATATGCTAATTGTTAAATTACAAAAATAAGTCAATTTAAAAACTTTTTGTGGATTAGCATACCCAATAATAACATACAAAATACAAAAGGATAATTGAATATGATAATAGAAGCTCATCATGAAATCATTGTATGAAAAAAAGTTCAACCTGGGAAGTTGTTACTGATACACGGCTCAACATTGATTGCAACATGTTTGGAAACACTATAAATGATACAAGACAAATGTAAAAAAATGTGATATTTTGATGTTAAAAAGTTTCAAATTTTAATAATTCTTGATTTTTACTTGATTTACTCAGATTTCACCAAAATATGGTAGGAACCCAGGATCATGGTGTAAATTACCAGTATGTTCTCGTCAAACCATAGCATTTTCTCATTTTTAAAGACCCGGGACCTTATTGTGTAAATTATGGAACCACATAATTTGTCCAAAAACTTTGTAAACAAACAGATAGACGGACACATAGACAAAATCTCATTGAAAGTATTGACCTTGTTTTTGGGCTTATTCTTCCCAAATGAAACATTTGTCTAATAACTATGGAATAGTTTCACATTCACACATAGCTTGGCAAGGTGTGTCTGATTCCAACCAGTCAGAACAGAGTATTCACATAATGAACAGTGTGTGAAATATCAATAACACATGCAAGGTCACTAGTTAAACAGTTGTCATGGTGATGAATGGACTTTTCACATTGGATTTGATAACTTGCCAACTTGACCCTTGCAAAAAATTTCATTGAAAATGTGTTCTTTTAGTGATTTCGTTCCTTTTGGATGATTTTGTAGAAAAAATTGCAATTGTGTGAAAAGAATTTAAGCCCAAGACTGTATTGTAGCTGCTTCATTCCACTCAGGCGTTGTTTCCTAAACTTTGCATTCCCGCTGCACAGTCATGCAAAGGTTTGGAAACAACACCTTCATGGTATGATTCAGCAAACAATGCACTGAGTCCAGGGCTTAAATCATTAAATCATGCATAAGCAAGATAAGCAACTTTTCAGTACCTCAAAAAGGCATGATATCTGCTTGACAGGTGGATGGCAACTAATGTTATTGTCTGCACGTTTCCATGCAAACTGATTGATGAACTTATTTGAAACTGCAGAACAGTTAAGTCCAATTTGGATTTTCCACCAGAGTATCTTGTTTGCATTTCCAAGCGAAACACTGAAACGGATTGATTTGAAAAATTCAAGGTTGCGAGTTGGTATGAAATTCTAGGCTTGAATAGTTTTTGGGCATGATGGGTAAATCATATTCATATTAGCTTTGTGAGCATGCTGGGTTGGTTTTATGGTGTTTTTTACATTTTACCAAGAGTGCTACAATTTGTTATAATACAAGATTACTCAGTCTTTGACCTAAATAAATGTAGGACTTAAGATGAACAAAAATTAAATGTTTATTTCATAAAAGTTATTATATTTTGTTTTTTTTCAATGTGGATTTTCACATGATCATTGTTCAAAATAAAAAATTATTTTCACATGAATAATCCGATTCCAGAACTACAAGATCAAAATCTTAAATGCATCATTGCAATCATTTTGAGTCTCATTCAAGTCATCAATATGCCATATCACAATGAGTTCCCATTTTAACAGTATTAAGGAATCCTATCTTAAGAGTGTTGTATTTGTCTTTGATCTCCCTCTTTGGGAACAACTGTAGTTGTAGCTCAAACAAACCTCCCTCTCTCTCTGGAAAGTGGTGCTCTCTTACCTGAAAAATAAATATCATTTAAATGTATCTAATTTTTTTTAACTGATTTGACAATAAATGTGTAAATACTGTATGATGCAGTTATACAAATAGCGACTGCCATTGAGGGAAATAGTGCAAAATATTTTTCCCGAGGGAATATCTTGTCCACTGACACGAGGGAACATGTCAGTGGACAGGATATTCCAGAGGGGAAAATTTTTACACTATTTCCCGAAAATGTGTACTTGTACTCTGTAAACAAAAACAAAATGAGAAGTTTTCATTTCAACATTTATTGTTTACAGGTTCTTATTGGGATTCAAAGGCATTTTGCCTTTCAACTCCTATAATTTCAACTCTCAGGGAAGGTAAAACGTACTAATGACTGGTCACATGACCTTACTGGTGATAAGTACATTTTATCTTCCCTGATACCAGGGATTTAGGAATTTCCAGGGAATTAGTTCATCTATTTTATATCATGTGACCATGAATAAGCCAATGAGCATTTAGAATACATATGAGGTATATAATGATACAATATATTCCAAAATAATCTCGCTTTGTAATATTTCACCTGATATAAATACATAATTATATACTAGAACATGTATTGCATTCTGCTGACTTGCTCTTATTATCATAAATATTGATGATAACAATAATATGAAGGGATGCTGTATATAAATAGATGACCAAACTGTGAACAACTGATATATGATTTTAAACTGAACATTGGAAACGTGTACAGCAAACAAAGGTAATACCTTATGAACTGATGAAAGCTGAAAGCTCATCCAGTATCTACAGTTCTACAGTGCTCCCCCAAACTGATCCAGAGTCTGGACAACCAGGATCACATGATCCATGAATGAGTTTACACCGACTCTCAACTGTTTAAGCTCCTTTGCCTTGAAACTGACATGTAGCACATTCCCATCAACTCTGAGCTCCCTGGTATTTCCACCACGTTTGGGTTCTTTGTCAACACGTAGAGAGTTGTAAGCAATTGTAGCTTGTTCCTCTGTCGGAAAAGGTATGCTTAGTTCTGACTTAACATCACTCATTGTTCTAATCAAGATTTGGTTTTCTATAGCAATGCCACAATATGGTCTATTATTATAATGTAAATAAGCTATTTCTGTTGTCCAATCTTCATTCCTTTTAACACTCAAGAACTGCCTGAAAATAGAAAAGCAATGCTAGTTATTAATTATTTTTTGAAGCAGGGTTCCATTTTGACCATTACGGTGAGATCAGAAGAATTTGGATGCACACACAAAAATCCACACCCCTCTCACAATGTGTTTAGGTAAAAAACTGGGTAGCCAGGTAACTTGGTAGCCAGGTGATCAGATACCTAACATTCCTAGCAGGGTTAAAAATTTGAATTTGTATGCCCAAGATGCATCTACATTTTGCGTTTCATCTTTCCAGGGCTTAAAATTCATAAACACTAGCTTGTGATGAATATTTCCAAAACTACTTGGCCTACAAAAAATGGCCTGTCATTTTTAATCTGTCAGATTCTTGCCTCAGTGGCGTGGTGCCAGAATACATTACTTAGCACTCTTATAGATGCCAATCACCTAACCAACCAACAATTCAAGCAATCAACCACCCTCCTAACTGACATCAAACTTAACATACCACTATTTCATGCATCCAACCAATCAAGCAAGCAACCATCTTATCTGCCAAAGAACCAACCAACAAGGCAGCCTAGCGACAAGCCAAAAGCAACCAACCAAGCAACAAAAAAACAGCCCGCCATCCAAACAACCAAGCATCAAAGCAAACAAGAACAACTAGCCAAGCCAACCAATGTTTGGTTGGTTGCTTTTTTGGCTGGTTGGTGGCTTGATTGGTTTGGTTTGATTGGTCTGTTGGTTGCTTCCTTAATCATCTGGTTGGTTGCTTTAAGAGCTTAATCTCTTATTGTATTCGACTCAATCTTTTTTATACATGTTCCTGGGCCTATGGTTCAGATCATTGGTTAGAGTGGAATGGGATTTGGACCACAGATTTGGATGAATAGGATTTGGAACATTCAGACGATTAGGTATCTGACGAATGGGATTTGAACCAATGGTTTGTCCTCTTTGCTCCTCATGACATGGGCTAAGATTTTCGACATCTAAAAAGTCACTCGACTTTTTTGTGATTTTGAAAGCATTCTGAAGTTTTAAATTGGCGCCACGTTTAATTTTTGGCATCCGCCTAATGTATACTACTTACCTTTTACTGATTCTTTCATAAGTTTCGTCATAAACTCAGTTTGACCAGAAGTATCTTTGGTGCCGCTCGATTTTTAAAAAAAAATGTCCCTTTTCTAATCACCCGGATGTGCCGTTTACTTGGACTCGCCCAAAATGAGGGGTGTCAAATGCAAGATGGTAGAGATGCAGCTGCCCGGTCAACCCTCACGCATTAGGCGTGATTGTCACGCATTTGCTGGAAAAATAGGAATCACGCATCAATTTAGCGTGTATGATTAAATATCACGCAAATCACGCATTTTGCTGATATTTTTAAAAATCGTTTTTTGTGAAATGCTGATAAGGTAAAAAAGCGAACGGCGAAAAAAGCGAACGCATTCCGTTCGGTCTTTGCATGCGATTGCCGTTTATGTCACGCATTTGGTACAAAATATGTGTATATATCACGGGGTTTGTGTAAAAAACTGGGTGACCGGGTAACCGAGTACCCGGTCGATCGAGGCAACGTAAACATGAGACATCTATTGATGATATAAAAAGAATGTTGCTGTAACGTGTCCGTAAAGTTCGTAACTCAAACGTTAAAATTCAACGTTGTCAAAACAGGCTTTTAATATCAAAATATTTTTTGGTGGAAAAAAACATGACAAAAACTTTGTGTTCTCACTAAGTTTTTTCATTTCCGACGTATTGTTAACGTTAACATTTAACGTTGTCGAAACGTTTTTTCGATTTGAAATAACCTCAAAACGTGATGTCAATAATGACGTTCATGGACCGTATTGATCTGACGTTATTTTAATATTCAGCAAAATGTCAATATGTTCTCACTAAATCGGTTCATTACCGATGTTATTTTAATGTTAAAAGTTAACGTTGTCAAAACGTTCTTACGATGTGAAATAACCTCAAAACGTGACGTCGAAAATAACGTACATGTATCGTCCAGATCCAACATTATAAATAAAAAAATCCTAGCCCTCCTAGGAACGTTAAGTACCCGGTCACCCAGTTACCCGGTTACCCGGTCACCCGTTTTTTTACACAAACCCTATATCACGCATTTGTTTCGAAAATATTTACACCTACCCCCCCACCCCCAGTTGACGGATTGGAACAGGAAAAGTTTTAGGTGTCCAAAATCTGCCAGTGTTCACTGAAGCTGTCCAAAGTTTGAAGGAAGGTGTTCAACATTTGGAAGTCACTCATGTTAGATGGTCCCAAGTTGACAGCCCTGATGCAGACATGTCGCCACTCTCAGAGAATCTATTCCATAATTTCAACATTACTACGCCGCTTTACAAGCGAAAAGGATAAGGGCAGGTTGTATATAGGACTGGACAAGATGAAAATAAATATTCTAAATAGATGACACCCCTTTCGAGGCTTTCGAAATAAGATGAACTGAACCTATCACGTCACTGATTTCTTAGAAGAAATTACGTCAGAAAAACAAAAGCTCCGTAGAGAATTTTTGCTTGAAATGTTGAAAAGCAAGCCCAGTTTTCTCTGGGAATATAAGGTAATTGTTACGTACGAGTATGTGTACAATATTACCGAGTTCAATGGTGCATAAGTTAGGCGGTGGATCATTTTGATGGTACGACAATGTGAACTCATTACTGTTACTTTTTGGAAGGTTTTTTGCAAAAAAGTCGAGTGACTTTTTAGTAGATGTCAAAAATCTTAGAAAGCCAATGCTCGTGATCAGAATCAAAGACAAAAAAAGATACCGACAGAAAAACACAGGAACCTGTATCAACACCTGACATCTATTGATCGCAAAACCTGAAATAATGAGTTTCTATAGTCTGGGTATTATTCTTCTATTGGGCCAGCAATAGATGCAAAATAAAATGCAAAATTTAAATGAAATGCAAAACGGAAAATCTTACCAACTCTTCAAATCAACTCTGTTTTTCCTGGCGGTTCATGATTTAGTAAGTGCTGCCATCTGTCGAGGAGTAAATTTGATGTTTTGAAAGTTAAAAGTCTGTCACATTTCGTTAAATATCCTAAATAATAGCTCTCTAATTGTCGAATCAAGCAAGCCATATAGTAAGGTAAGTGTGAATACATACTTTGATTGTTTGCAGTATCCAAATAACGGTCTAAATTGTGAATGACGACAAGATTTATAAGTTTTCCTGCCAAGACCATGGATTTTGAGTTCATTGAATCCACACATCACCCAAGGGCGTTACAATACCCGGGAATTTATCGGTTCGTGCAGTACTTGTTTGTGATAGCGCCCTCTGTAGGTCACTGTGCTTATAGCCTACAGTAATACGGGGTAGGATATCGGAAATTCGGTCAGTTTCTATCCGTCGATTTCGCTATGAATTGAAGCAAGTGTGACCACTTTATCCACTTAAACAATTTGATAATTGATTAAATCTTTAAACAAAATCGATAAACACGTTATACACTTCCTATCTCCTTAGAAATTAGCATGTATTTATGGATTGTGTTTTCGAACAAGGCTCGACCCATACCAATAGGGAAATCCTTATGCTAATTAGTATGACGTCATATTTTCCTGGGGAATCCTAGATTTCAAAGCCTCAGTCTGTTATTGTGTCAAATGTAAACGCTCTTTTGCAGACAGAAAATTGACAGATTAGCTTTTAACTTTCAGCTTTGATGTTTAAATATTCTGTATTTCTACCGGACTTCTTGCTGAATATCATATAATGTTATAACTTGATTTAGACAATTGCCTGATTGATCATTCTGAAATTTTGATTGTGATTCATGATTGATTGGCAAGAATAATAATTCCTATTGTTTTCCAGCGAAGTCAAAATGTTACAGCATGAGTTATAATGTCGAGTTTGCATCATGTTAAATTCTGCTAGTTATTAGAAGTCCATGCACAAGCATACACATAAGAGACAAACACACCCAGGCTCCAGGCCGTGGATGGAAATATAAAACTATTTAAGGCACAAACTGGTATTAATAGACCGATATGTAGTGTCTGCCATGTATTGAAGGTAAACCAATCTGCATTATTAATGTTTCTTCTATCAATACATGGATTGTGCAATAGAAAAGCAATGGCACAATCAAAAATGTGCATATCAATCGTGAATATCTCTCGGTTCAAAGCTTATTTCCAACAGAATCGTGTCAAAATATGTGTCTGAGTAACAGTTATACATTATAAGATCGCAAACTCTTACCAATTATCAGCCGAATGGCTCATTTTCAACGAAATGTCCTTAAGACAAAAGCCCTGGGTCGCGCCTGAGACCAAAAACTACTTCAAATAGCCCTCCCCTAATTATATTGGATAATCACATTTATGCGTGCGCGCGCAGCTCATCCACTGAACGAAACGCCACTTCCCGCTGAAATCACCGGGTATTGATCTTTCCCTTGCATCACCTTCACTACTCGTGTATTGGAATTTTGGCGTTGAAAATGTTCTCAGAAGTCGGTAGCTGAATTTTATTTAAATAACCACTAATCCAGCTTTTTTCAACCCCTGGTTTTCAATACACAGGTAGTTGTGGGGGATTTGAAAAATCAACCCCACATTTATGGGGTTAGGAATATTGTACACGCATGGTTCACTCCAAGCTTACTCATCTTAAAGATTTTATTGAAAGATTCATCAAAAAGAATCTATGCATATGCATAAGTGCAAAGAATATGCAAAGGAAAGCGACAGAGTCAGTATGTTGATTCCGAACACCAAATGTACTGCACATCTGTGGTATAATTTTACAAAATTGCCATTCCTGATTACACCAACATTTCTAAAAAATTTCAGCAGATGTGTACATCTACAATAAATGTATTCTTTTAGCATCTATGAGAAAATGTAACCGAGACTTTTGCCAGTGATGTGAACTTACTTTGAATTTTTGTGGTATAATTTGATGACCTATTGCATTTTTGGGTCCCATCCATCATTTCCTGTATTTTTGCAGTGGCCCAAATGTGTAGCATTCGAAATACGTCTTATGTCGTTTAGGGCAAATGGTAAAAACCCGGGTAAGGCGTTTTACAAAATATGATCAGCATTACACTACACTCCAAAAGCGCCTAATGATTTAAGGCGTTTTTTAGTGACTAGGGTTCTAGGAGTTTTGGAAAAGCACTTTTGTTAATCCCCAATCGTGATTACACCTATTTTTCAATCCGGGTTAAAACCTTAGGCGCCTTTCTAAAACGCATGGTGTAATTCCAGCAATTATGTGGTACCTTGAACTAATGATACAGGATCCTGTCAGCACTGCATGTTAAGAATCCTAAATTTAATTGATTTATAAGTGACATATTATTTAGTAGTATTTAAAGGCATAGAGTTTGTGGGGGTAATTCCAAACACTAGCATTGGGGTAATTCTGAACACCTAATCATCATAATTAATTATTTTATTGTTAGATTGTTTTTATTATATGGTATCTTTCAGTATATAGATATTATATAGAGCCTAAAGACGTACTATTATTAAACTCAATGAGTGCTTGCTATTGTTTGCAACCTGTTTGGAATTATCCCCCTGTTCCGATTTGGACATATTGGCTCTAGTCTACAATGCGATTCAAAGGACCATAGTAAAATATTATATGGAACATACATTTAAAATTTAGATGCAAATGTTTGCATTTTTATGCTTCTTTGACATGTTACTTTCAAAAATTGTGACAAGAGACCGCAGATACCATATACTGTACTCCCAGTTGATTTTGCGTTATTCTCTGAATCCTCAAGCTCTGTAAGGTTACCTCATGTACAGTAAGTACACCTACCTAATGTCATATTTGGATAAGATTTACAATTACAACTAGATCTTGGTCAATGGTATGCTGCACCTTAACCTCTATTACATCGTCATTTTTAGTTTATTTAATCTAATAAGCCACTGTAACAGACATTGTTGCTTAGTATCCCATTTATCGCCTAATAACACTGGAGAAATGTACAAGTCACAAAATACAATGGAGTCCCAGGTAATTTCACAAATCCCCGGAGATTTAATTGACAATTTCCCGAAGATTAATTGTTGCAATTTTACTACAATCGCAAAAAGCACAATAACTAAATCGCACGCGAAATATACCAAGAGTACAGTAGAAGATTAATTTTTTTGAAATATACAAACATTTTGCAGCTCAAATAGGAATGTATTTTTCTATAAAATATTGTTATGTGATCATTTTTACTAAATTATTTTGGTTTGATTGACATACAACCTAATTGAGTTGCACTGTAGAAATTATATGAACAGGTGAAGAAACATCCAAAAATTCTCCAGAGGTTCAAATTACCATCCATCAATATGATTATGAGATATGAATATGAGATATAGTTGCACAGTGCATAACCCCAAAGAATTGATGATTTGCGATCACCGAATGGATTCTATCTTTTAGTGACATCACAGTTAGGCCATCCAGTTTATCTTCTATATTTCGTGTTTTATTGATTTATTTTTCACGAAAGCCTTCGATTTGACTAGATCAACATTCATCCTAAGCACATACCAAGTCTATCGTACTGACATGATTTAGATAGTGGTTAAGCGCCCCCCGATTTTGACAAAAACGGGGGGCGCTTATAGGCATCGATGTTTAGTATGAATTTCACCCAAAGTTCGCACATATATAGATATACTCATGATCTAGTCAAATCGGCATACCTGGTAAATATCCGACCCATGGTTTTCATAGAAGAAACTACAATATTTTTTGCTCAAAACTGCCACGTGTCCGCCATTTCGTGATTCCATCATGTCTAATATCATTTCTATATGACGTCACATCAATAAGACGAAATACGTGACAACAGTATCCATAAACAAAATTCCTGAATTCTGATCGCAAAAGGTCAATTCAGCAATATATGAACTGGTGAAGTCACTGCCAAAATTCTCTAATTGAGTAAAAAAGTATGTGTCAATTATCAACATCGATGACTTCTTTTTTGTAATCAGGTCATCTATTGTTGCTATTTACACTCCATTATATTCATACCCATAAAAATAAAATATGAAATGAAATATGTTCAACTTGCACACTTCTATCTGGTTAACAATGTTCTGAATTGATTCTAAGTGACACAAAAAATAAGTCATTTTTTCACATTGTCTTCAAATGTTCATGTAGATTCCGAACTGGTTTAACACAAGGAGTATTGGCAGCCATTATTCAAACTCAAACAATATTCTGTTGCCTGGCATAATACAATTTAGTTATAATGTCGCTATTAAGTTCATCTTTGAACCAAGTATTTCACCGGAAGATGGACATTACAAGTATTGTTATAATGATATTCAAACTCCAGTGGCAGTGTTTAAGTCTTCAACATATTTAAGCTTAAAGGCCCCATATAAAGTTGAAATAATTTTGGCTTATATATTGTAGTCTTGCCCAATGTTGTGAAACTTTTTTATTTTAATTTCAAAAAGTGTTTTTTTTCCTCGTAAAATCTCTAATTTTTTTTATAAACTAAATTTTCCTGGTCACACTTATCTTTTTTAGGGATGTTAAGTTACATATTTCTTTATGAACTTCTATGTGAACATGAATTATGAATTAGTTCTCTCATTTATAGTCTTTACTTGGCCAATTGAATTGAGTATAAAAGTATACGGAAGATAACTGTAATTAAGTCCCCGGGAAAGTGAATTGAGTGTAGGAGAGTAATCCCTGGAGTCCAAATATTACACACTCACTTAAAAATGTGTAACTTAACCTCCCTCATAAGAAATAATTCACACCAATGGATATAGCATTCATTCATTCTCACATGCGTTTTGTAAACAAATTAAGAAAATTGGTTGATAAATAAGCAGGAAATGAACTCGTCCATCCATGAAAGTGGTTCAAAGAAACACATCCCATTCTCAACATGTCGTACGAATGTAACTAGACGACATGCTTTTGGTGCCAAATCTTCATCACCTCTAC